AGGCTTGCCTGTGCTTCAGGCCAGCCCTGGGCGGCTGAGGGGCGGAGAGCGGGTCCGGCTGCACCTTGCGCCTGCCACCCCTCCCCCAAGTGGGGCTGAAAGGACTGGGGGACTCTGGCAGGGCTGAGGGGACTGGGCACCGCCATCTTGTAGCTATGGGCGCCACCGTCTTTGTGCTGGTGTGACGGTCAATTGCATATCCCCTCTTTATTAGATGGTATGCATAAGAGTATAATTGCTACATCAAAGGGAATTCTTGTTTTTTTCCTTTTCTTTGCCTATTATGTACATTAATACTTTTATTTCCCTATATTGATTTGGAAAGTAATTATCCAAATTTTAATTTTGCTGTTAAGCATGAAAAAAGTTAGCAACATTGCCAACAATAAATTTTCCTTAATATTAACTATGAGAGGAAACCATTTTGTTATGCTTTCTGTATAAATAACACAGTGTACAGTTTTAATTCTTCTTACTACTACTGCCTTCTCCTTTGTTTTTGTGGAAAAGTTCTTGAACTTCATATCAGGAGTATCATTTTCAAACTAATAATTTTACATTTTTATTACATTCTCCTTTTGTAATTACCAATGACATTTGCATTCTCCTTTGTAATGTAACAGTTATGGTTGAGACTAATGTCTTGAGTTTAAATGGTCTCTGTGCACATCATCAATTATCTGTTTTAATCATTCCTTAATAAGTACCAGTTAGAATACTTATTTGACTGTTGTTTTTTCTAGAGAGCTGTATGGCTTTATTTCTTCTGAGTCATTACATATCTGAAAGTGAATTTCTGTTTTCTTATTTGAGCAATATGATTGGGTATGGATTTCTAATCAAAGGAAATAATCTTTCTCTTCAAAAGTCTGATATTTGTTTATTATCATCTAGGAATTAAGTTTGAAGTGAAGTCAAGCCTAGTTCAACTGTTCCATGTAACTTACGGAGGGTAGGGGCAGTTCTGCCTACATTCTATTTTAGAAAAAATTTTTTAGTTGTATTGTAATGAGAGAATGTGCCTTATATAATAGTTAATCTTAATATTTGCTGTTTTCTGTTTGAATTGATAAAATGATCAGTAAAAGAAAATCACTGTATGTGTAATAAATTAATCTTATTGGTGATTATATTCAAATCTTCTATAACCTAAATTGTTTTGTGTCTTCTTAATCTGTCATACAACTAGAGGTTAAAATTTCCCACATTCATAACAGTGTTACCCATATTATTTGATGCTATTTTGAATGTACTCTTTCCCCCACTCCTGATTATTTTAGTCACTTACGCTTTTTATTTTTAAAAAAATATTTTTTTAATGATTTCAGAGAAGGAGGGAGATACAGAAACATCAATGATGGGAGAGAATCATCGATCAGCTGCCTCCTGTATGCCCCACACTGGGGATTGAGCCCAAAACCTGGGCATGTGCCCTGACCAGGAATTGAACCATGATCTCTGGGTTCATAGGTTGATGCTCAACCACTGAACTGCACCTGGCCAGACTGTGTTTATTTATTAAGAGGGACAAGAGTTCAGAACTAGATGTGAAAACCTTAGTTGAACTAAGAAAGGTTGAGTCTCAATTGGAAATATTTACTTCTGACAATGAGAACAAGTACTGGCCCTCAAGCCAGGTAAATAAAAATTTCACAAATCATAACAATCTGAATAAACAAACCATAAATTTCAGGGGATTAGAATTATGTAAAGAATCTGCTTGAAGGAATTAGGTTAGAATGTCCCAAGGGACCATAAGTCATATATTTTTAAAACTTTATGAAAATTTGAATTATAAAGTTGTTATGTATATAGTGTATTCTCTTTATTGAGGGTACTAGAGGCCCGATGCACAAAATTCATGCACAGGTAGGGTCCCTATGCCTGGCCAACAATCAGGGCTGATCTGTGGGGTGACCGGCAGGGTGATCTTGGCGGGGGCCCGCTAGCACCCACCTTGGCCGACCTGGTGCTGCCTGCCCACTAGCCCCGTCCCCCACTGTGGGGTGATGGAGGGGGCTCCCTGCTGGCACCCGCCTTGGCTGGCCTGGGGCCTGTGGGCTGTGGGCAGCTTCTGTGTTGAGTGTCTGCCCCCTGGTGGTCAGTGCAAGTCATAGTGACTGGTCATTCTGCCATTCAGTTGATTTGCATATTAGGCTTTTATTATATAGGATAGTACTTGTGTTGCTGTCAGTCACTCCATATTACTTATGCTCCATTTGGGGTGTAATAGGAGGGAAAATACAATATTTATGGTCTTTTTTGTTGTTTTTAATCCTCACCCAAGGATATTTTCCCATTGACTTTCTTCTTCTTCGTTTTTTTTTAAGAAGGAGTGGAAGGGAGAGGGAGAGACAGAGTGAGAGAATATGGATGTGAGAGACACATAGATTGGTTACCTCCTGCATGCGCTCTGACTGGGCTGGGGATCAAGCCTGCAATCTAGGTACATGCCCTTGACCAGACTCAAATCTGGGGCCCTTCAGTCCATAGCAAATGCTCTATATCCTCTGAGCCAAACCAGCTAGGGCTTTGTCTTTCTTTACTAGTAATGTTTTCTCTCTCAGCTGTAATAAAAAACACAAATTTTAAATCTACTGTGTTCAATTATGAGTAACAGATTTATAAAGAACATTGTAAAAATATTATTAGTGTAAGATTTTGATTTTAAAATTCTGTATTTCATTGTTGTTTTTGTTATGTTTGGCTAAAACTTATTTAATAAGGATTATCTTTAGTTTGTTTTGAACCATTGCACAGTGAGTTCAATTCTGAAAAACCATACTCTCTAAAATACCTCTGTCAATAATATTGCCTGAATGACTTCATGTGATCCTTCATTTACAGAAAATGGGTCACATAATTTTGAGCAGCTATTTTTGTCTAAATTTATATACTGTTCTTTTTTATGATACCTGCATTAGGAATTAAAAAAGAAGAGGCCTGATTTATTTACCTATTTAAGTCTATACTGGAGAGAGAATGTCTCTTTAATCATCCTTTTGTTTTATCTTTTTGGGCTATAAATGCTATTTGCTGGAGGACATCACCAGGGTCGGGTGAAATGTGTGCAGCTGCATACTCTCCTCAATGCTCAAGGGTTGTATCTGTGTGTATGTCCCTGCTTTAGTATGCTGTAGCTCTAAAAGTAAACAGAAGTGTTAGACTCATTGGCTGTCAAGCTGTCAGCTAGGAAAAGAATTCCTTCTTCTAATTGAATTTATATGGAGAACTTTGAAGGAATGAAAGGGTGGTTTAATTTTTCCCTAGGTTTTAAAGATGTGATTTATTGTACCTTGTAAAACTAAAAGGGAAAAATAGGGAATGGTAATGATTTTCCATGTCATTAGTTTTTATATTTGTAAAGTTTTAGCTTCCACTCATCCTACCTTGAAAGTTTAGATTTGGTATTAAAACCAAAATAATACTTCTGAGTTCATCCTATGGTTTGTTGATACACTCCTCCCTCATCTCAGATGTCTTATTTCAAAAAGCAAAGATCTGGAACATTAAAATAGCTACTAATGGACTTAGTACCTGCCTGGATTAGGAATGGTAGAAGGGTAGATCTGTAAAATAACCACATCTAGAACTTTTCTATGATAAATATAAGAAATCGTATTAATCAACTTATTTGTGAACTATAGTAACAACTTTGTTACAGTGTTGTCTTTGACAGAGAGGTATGACCAGTTGTTTGTTTCCCCATTTTAAAATTTTACTTGAGCCCTAGCTGGTTTGGCTCAGTGGATAGAGTGTCAGCCTGCAGACTGAAGGGTCTAGTCAAGGGCACATGTGCGGGTTGCAGGCTTGATCATCAGTAGGGGGTGTGCAGGAGGCAGCCAATAAATAATTCACTATCGGTGATATTTCTATCTCTCCCTCTCCCTTCCTTTCTGGAATAAATTAAAAATAATAAAATAAAATTTTACTTGAGAACTTAATTATAAATTGGTAGGTGATGATAAATTGTGAATTTGGAAATTTAATTCTAATTAATATTAGGAAGATTGATAATTACTCAGAAATGGTAATACAGTAGGAGATATGAGAACTGTCTCATAAATTTGTCAAAATGTATTAGGCATAAAAAATTTTTTTTTAAACAAATTTAAAATTTTTTTTTTTTATCGATTTCAGAGAGGAAGGCAGGGAGAGAGAGAGAGAGAAACATCAATGATGAGAGAGAATCATTGATTGGCTGCCTCCTGCACACCCCTTTCTGGGGATGGAGCTCTAAACCTGGGCATGTGCCCTTGACTGGAATTGAATCTGGGACCCTTCAGTCTTCAGGCCAACGTTCTAACCCCTGAACCAAACCAGCCAGGGATAGGCACATGAATTTTGGATGTGAAGTTGGCTGTGCGGCTGTTTAAAATGAGCATTTCATTTCCAAAAACCTCTTCAGAGAAGAAGTGCACAGATTGAGCTTATTTCTGCATAATACCAAAAAACAAAACAGAATAGTTAAATGTATCTCTAGAGACCAATTAAATTATGATATATCAATACATGTAAGTATTATACAGCTGTTTAAAAAGACTAAACTGGTACTGTATGTATTAACATGCTTAGCTTTCTAATATATGTTAAATAAAGATATGCACAGCCCTGGGCTGGTGGTTCAGTTGGTTGGAGTGCCATCCCATGCACTAAAAGGCTGTTGGTTCGATTCTGGTGAGAGCACACAACCTAGATTACAAGTTTGATCCCCAGTCAGGGTGTTTCCAGGAGGCAACCAATCAGTGTTTCTCTCTCCCTCTCCCTTCCTCTTTCTAAAATAAATTTTAAAAAACCCCACACTTTTGGAATCACTGAATTGAGTTTGTCTGCAGTATTATTGTTGAAGTGGTTATTCAACAATATAAGAGTTTTGTAGTATGCTAATATTTTTTAAAAATTTAGGGCCCCTAGAAAAGGAAAACATATATAAGGTAGGAGTTCAAAAGTAAGATGTATATCTATTTTTAAATCTCTACTGTGCTGTTTTTCTATTTCAGTTACCTAGAAAAGTACGAGAAAGTTCATCATTTTGGGGAGGATGATGATGAAGTACCACCAGGCAATCCAAAGCCACAGCTTCCTATTGGTGCAATTCCATCTTCCTACAATTACCAGCAACACAGTGTATCAGGTAAATTGGAAATTGACAGGGCATAGGTCCACAGTTTTGAATTAGGAAAATAAATATTATCCAATGACTTAATCCCTTAATTAAAGACTTAATATAACGTTCAAAGATCAACATCTAATTGGTATCAAGGCCTTTCTATCATAGGATTCATGAGGTTTTTAGTTGTAGCATTTTCCAGACTTACAAATACCTTTACTTTAAAAAAAATTATTTTACTGTTGAGAGTATTACAGATATCTTCCATTATCCTCCTTTGCCCCTCTCTTTTCATCCCACCATCCCTATCTCCCCCCTCCATTCCCCTACCAAATGCCGATACTTTTAAGTGAAGTTTTTCTCTTACTTCTTTGGCTAATAATCAGTTTAACCTTAATAGTTACTAACATGAGAAGAGAAAGATTCAGTTAGGATTAGAGAAGTCAAGAATACTTAGGTAGCATCTACTAGATTTACTACAATTATTGAAATTTCCAGCACCAGAATTCCTCAGAAATGTTCCTAACTATTCAACTATTTTCTTGGTGTGGTACCAGTAATAAGATTTTCTTTTTATATTTAAGTCATTCTTGTAATAGTTACAGAGGAATCTGCAGCTAAAAAGAACAGTACTCAAGTTGGAAATAATCAGGTTGGAGTCTAATAATAAAGAGGTTCCTGAGGCAGAGTAGATGGAGGTTCTAGCGTTTAGTGAGTTTGGAAGTTGGGACTGTGATCACTAGGAAGAAAGCTCTGACGAGATAAAGATGTCTTCTTTAATTACCAACATTTGGCCTAAAAAAGAGGAGATAATGTCTTTTACAGGGTATATTCTTTATAAAATATACAATGATCTGATATTTATTATTCTTTGTTGGTGCTAGTCCCAATTTCTTATAGGTAATCCTTAAACTCATTTGTGCTTTTTATTGTTTATTTTTATAACAGGGTTTTCTTTTTTATAGAAGCAACATCATACAATAACTTCCTTTTTAAACTTTATAATGTATCATGGACACCTCTCCCTCTAATTTATCCTTTTTAATAGTTGTGTATTCCATAGTGAAGATGTACGTTTCTTTTTTTACTTTATTTTTGACACTTTATTTGTACTTTTCAAATTTTATTTTCTATTATTACCTATTTTCAAAGTTTCTTCCATGTTGAATTTGACTCCCTTTTTCTCCCCAATCAGTAAAAACTGAAGAAACAATCTGTGATCTCCTTTAGAAGAGGCTTCATATATGAGGTGGTTTTATATAATTGGGGTAGATGGTGATGAATGCAAACCAAACCTACCTTAATTTTTTTTCCCCAGCTTTTTACAGGCCTTTAATTTATAACCTCACTTTGACTCCATAGAAAAGCCAATGTAAAAATTAAGACATCTTTTAATTAGGACAGATCATTAAGCAAGACCATCTGTATTTGATTCAAAGAACCTTTGATTATACCATTGTTCCATATTTTACCCTAATCTCAGAAATGCGTCAATATGTATGTTAAAGTAACTATTAATTTTTCACTATCAATGGTATACAACCCAAATTTGTCTACATTTATGATGTCAAGACCTAAAAAAAATGTTTCAGAAGTAACGAGGTAGGCTCTATGGAAAGGAACAAAAAGCCATCTTTGCATGCCTGCACAACAGCACCTTTCCAAGACAACGGAGAAACAAACATCTAAAGAGATTTAAAGACAAAAACAATTAAAATATTTATACTTAAACAAGTTGTCTTTCAAGCATGAGGGTAAAGAAAGCGATCCTTTGATATGCATTGTCTCAGAAAGTCTAGCTTCATTTTTAATGAGTAGTTATTACCTGAAGAACCAAAATTAAAGAACATTTTAAGTCACCATGTAGAAGATCTTGCTAATAGTTTAGTTGAAAATTAAATGGGGTGACTTGTTAGGTGATGTTTCCTGATCCTAACAAGGGTTAGTGGCCATTAATTATCTCATTCAGGGATATTATAGAGGTATTCTTATATTGAAAGAATCATTGTGCTAATGACTTTTAAGACCATTTTCAGCTTCATGACTCTGTGGTTCCTATATTATAAGTAACTAGTGGCCCGGTGCATGAAATTCATGTGGGAGGGGGAGTCCCTCAGCCCGGCCTGCACCCTTTCCAATCTGGGACCCCTTGGGGGATGTCCGACTGCCGGTTAGATTAAACCGGCAGTCGGACATACCTCTCACAATCTGGGACTGCTGGCTCCTAACCGTTCACCTCCCTGCCAGCCTGCTCGCCCCCAACTGCCCCCCCCCCCACCGGCCTTCTCACCCCCAGCTGCCCCAACTTGCTGGCCTGATTGCCCTCAACTGCCCCCCTTGCCAGCCTGATCACCCCCAACTGCACCCCCTTGCTGGCCTGATCACCCCCAAAGGCCCCCTTGCCGGCCTGCTAACCGCCTACTGCCCCCCCCCCCTCCGCCAGCCTGCTTGGCCCCAACTGCCCCCCCCCACTGGCCTGCTTGCCCCCAACTCTCCCCCCTGCCAGCATGTTTGCCCCAAACTGCCCCTCCCGCTAGCCTGATCACACCCAACTGCCCCCCCACTGCCAGCCTGCTTGCCCCAATTGCCGCCCCTGCTGGCCTGCTTGCCCCCAACTGACACCCCCCTGCCAGCCTGCTCACCCCCAACTGCCCTCCCCTCCTGGCCTGATCGCCCCTAACTGCCCCTGCCTCGGCCCTGCCACTATGGCTTTGTCTGGGCAGCTGCCACGGAGCCGGCTGGGGCGATCAAGGAAGCCAAGCTGGCTGGAGAGGAAGCCAAGCCTCCTGCGCCTGCTGTCCAGTTGGCTGGGGCAACCAAGGAAGCCAAGTCTCCTGCGCCCGCTCTTTGGCCGGCTTGGCTCCGTGGCTCTGGTCAGCACCGCCATCTTTGTCATGTCAATTTGCATATTCCTTCCTTATTGGCAGTGGGTGCCGCCATCTTTGTCTAGAAGTGATGGTTAATTTGCATATTACTCTTTTATTAGATAGGATAGCATTACTGTCCATTATTGTAGCTTAAAAAGAGTTTGATGTTTGCTGTTACAGATCCTTAAACTGATCCACTTCTGTGTTTGATGTTGTTTAAAGAGAATTTTTTTCTGGATCTGGTTCTCTTTTTCCTCCTCTAATTAAAACAGACTTAGTTCAAGAAACAAGATGTAAAATATTTCTGGTATTTCACAAGTCTAATGGAAATTATCCATAGAGCTATACAAGTTAAGGGAATGACAGAATTGCTTAACTGGGTGTTATAACTTCTTTCTGATATGCTGTCATATGTCGGTTGTTGTTTTTTAAGGCTAATCTGAGCAGTTATGTAACATATATTGCATGATTGATAAAATCAGGATTGGGAACTCATGAAAGGAAAGACACTAGGAATTAGGAATTGCTGGTGAATATCCAACTATAATATTTTTAATTTAAACTGAAAAGTTGTAGTGTTTGAGGGCACCATTTATGAATTTTAAGGTGCTTTTTATTTTTCTAGAAGGAGCCATAGCAACATTATGACAGTGTTCTAAAAATGAACATGATTATCACTTTGTAAAATAAATTCTTCATTTATGATTCTTTTTAAGTATCATTAAGAAAAATAAAGTGTGTGTGTGTGTGTGTGTGTGTGTGTGTGTGTTTTAAATAAACACCCAAACAGAATTACATAGTGTTAGATTAAGAGCTTTTAGGAAATTTTAGTTAAAACCTATAAAAGAGTTGGGTTTACATCTTTGATTATACAGCCTTTCTCTCCTGGTAGGTAAGTGTATTTATCTAGAGATACTTATTGTTGATATTTAAAGAAAACTATTCTAAAACAATATTTTGAATAGTAGATTTTGATTGGCAGTCACCTCCAGGGTATTTGGTATAAAGTGTAGTTCTATTTATAATTTTCATAATTGAGAGAATAAATGGAATACTGTACATTGATATGGGACCAAATTTTCCTTTAAGGATAATGGTTACCTTAGCCCAATGACTTTAAATGACAAAAAATATTGAGAAGATTTTGCTTTGAACTTCAGGGTTATTCAACTTTGGCATCAGTACATGTGGTTGTATCATTTATGTGCATCGTTTTTCTTGTCATAAACACCTAGTCCTTTGGCTTTCCTCTTTCTCTATCCTTCCCTCCTCCCTGCCCCTTGGTATTGATTTCAATACAGTCAGTTCTGCAGAACTGTAGAGTAAAATTATTAAGGATGGTTTGTTCATCTTTTCTTACATTTTTTAAAATTAAAATTCAATTTTTTAATTAAAATAAAATTGTTTCTTTGCAATGTCTTTATTAGAAAAATTATGGAAGGCAAAACTGAAAAATAAAAAAATTGAAAATAATAGAACTATAGAATTTCAGAGCTAACCATGATTTTAGTGATTATTTAATCCAATCCAGTTATTTTGATAAAAAAAGACCAAGTACCCTGTCCATTTACATTTTTGGTATTTAAATTTGGGAAAGTTTCATACTGGAAGATTTAGTTTTTTTAGTTCTATAAGTTGTACTTGAGCAAAAATTTTCCCTTAATTGTCTCATATTCTAACAGACATTTGCACTGCAACAATCACTGTCCTATGAATGGAAAGAAAGCTCTCTAGGAACAATTCTCCTTTTCCTCTAACCTGAAAACATAGAAATGTGGTTGCCTAATATTAAGTTTGTCAGCCATGATCCATTTATATAAACTTTGAGTCAAGAATTCTATATAATAAAATCCTAATGTGCAAATTGTCCTCTCGACCAGGAGCTCTACTGGGAGTTCGACTGGGTGACCCGGAGTTTGACCGCTCGCTATGATGTGCGCTGACCACCAGGGGGCGGTGCAGAACATGGTGTACGTTGGCAATGTGGCGCTGGCAGCAGGTGGCAGTGGTATCTCTGCCGCGCTTAGGTCGCTGGCCAGGCCTAGGGACTGCAACTGTGCACGAATTTCGTGCACCGTGCCTCTAGTGTTGAAAATAATTTCCAATCCCATTTTGAGTATAAAACTGTAGCTGTTGGATCATATCTCCTTGGGTAGAGAAAGGGGAGGTTCTTCAAATCTTATAAGCATTTTTTCCTACATTATCTTAGGAATCATTACCAAGCCTGATATAATTAAAGGACTGTTCATAATTATTTATTTATTTGTGTTGTTTCTAATTTTTTAAATTTTTAAATATTTTGGTATTTTTTTGTTTTGATTGGAGGTGTCTTTGGCAAAGTTATTCAGGTAAGGATGTATTGAATTGAGTATCTGATGTCACAGAACAATTCTAAGATCTTATTGAAAGCACTAAAACTTGACAGACAATAAATGTAGGTTCCAATTTTTTTTCTGTTGAAGAGATTTGTTTAAAGGTTTCATGGAATCTAAAAACTCTTGCTGAGACTTGGGTTCTTATAATCAGTTACCATATGTAATATAGAAATAACAAAATCTATTCCTTTTTCACAGAAGTTTTGTTAATTTTTTCACAGGTGTTTATTTTCTGGTATTTATGAAGTACTTCATTTCAAGACTAGAGGCTCAGTGCACGAAATTTGTGCATTGGGTTGGGGGAGGGGTCCCTCAGCCTGGCCTGCACCCTATTTCATCCGGAATCCCTCTCACAATCCGGAACCACTGGCTCCTAACCACTCGCCTGCCTGCCTCATTTCCCCTAACTGCCTCTGCTTGCCAGCCTGATCACCTCCTAACTGGTCCCCTGCCAGCCTGATCACCCCCTAACTGCTCCCATGTCCACCTGGTCACCCCCTAATTGCCCCCCAGCCAACCTGGTCACCCCCTTCCTGCCTCTGTCAGTATGGTCGCCCCTTAACTGTCCCCCTGCTAGCCTGGTCACCCCCTAACTGCCCTGTAGGCCTGGTCACCCCCTAAATGCCCCCCTGCCAACCTGGTCACCCCCTAACTGTCCCCCTGCCGGCCTGGTCACCCCCTAACTGCCCCCTGCCGGCCTAGTCACCCCGTAACTGCCCCCCTGCTGGCCTGGTCACCCCCTAACTGCCCCTGTTGGCCTGGTCGCCCCCTAACTGCCCCCCTGCCGGCCTGGTCACCCCCTAACTGCCCCTATCAGCCTGGTTGCCCCCTAACTGCCCCCCTGTCAGCCTGGTTGCTCCCTAACTGCCTCCCTGTCAGCCTGGTCACCCCCTAACTGCCCCTGTTGGCCTGGTCGCCCCCTAACTGCCCCCCTGCCGGCCTGGTCACCCCCTAACTGCCCATATCAGCCTGGTTGCCCCCTAACTGCCCCCCTGTCAGCCTGGTTGCTCCCTAACTGCCTCCCTGTCAGCCTGGTTGCCCCCTAACTGCCCCGCTGCTGGCTTGGTTGCCCCCTAACTGCTCCCCTGACAGCCTGATCACCCCTAACCACCTCTGCCCCAGCCCCCACCACTGTGGCTTTGTCTGTAAGGACGTCGGAAGATGTCCGGTCTAATTAGCATATTACCCTTTTATTAGTATAGATTATTAAAATGAGCAGCATGTTATTGTTCAACCTTAAATATGGCAAAGAATCTATTTATAGCCAGTTATAACTATATTGTGGGACTTCTTCACTATTATATTATTGGAGAAAGTCTTTGAATATTTTAGAATTGAAGCGGTGTCTCCTCAAATGTCTATATTGGAAAATAAATAAATTTCTTTACCTACATGATTTTCTTCAGTGACATGTTGTGGCAATGCATCCCTACTTTGTATTCTAGTTTTTTCTTAATCCATATTTCTGAAATGTTTTATCCAGAATCACTTTGTCTTTTTGCCTCTTTCCATTAAACTAGTTATATCTTACTAGAGAACTGGTGCACGGATTCATGCACTGGTGGGGTCTCTCAGCCTGGCCTGCGCCCTCTCGCAATCCGGGACCCCTTGGGGGATGTCAGACTGCGGGGATCTAGCTGAAACCGGCAGTCCGACCATCCCCCGAGGGATGTAGTAGTAGTGAAGTGGCAGGTGGCCGGGGAGAAGCCCAAGCCTGGGGCGGGCGCCACGCTGCTCCCACTCATCCTGGCCCTACTGCACCTGCTGCCATCGCCGCTCGGATTAGCTCAGTGATCGGCACTCCCACTGCATTGAGCGTCTGCCCCCTGGTAGTCGGTGCACATCATAATGATAGGTCTACTGGTTGAATGGTTGACCTGTTGCTTAGGCTTTTCTATATATAGACTAGGGGCCCAATGCATGAAAATCATGCAAGGTCCTTGTCCCTGGCCCCTGCCTGCAACCACCATGGCCGGAGGCCTCTGCCGCCTCTGCCTCAGCTCCTGCCCGCTGCGGCTTTGTCCAGAAGTATGTCTGGTCTAATTAGCATATTATGCTTTTATTATTATAGATGTGAAAAATATACTTGGGGTAGATGTCTCAGGACATAGCTTTCAAGGCCTAAACTGCCCCAATTAAGAGTCAGTATTTCTAGAAATATAACATCATCTTATATGCATATATTATGATTAAACATTCTGCAACCCCATCTTCCCTATCTTCAAAATCCTGAAATTGTTTGAAATTAATTCCCTTGCGGAAAATTTTAGTTACCTTGGGTTAGGAAAAAAATGTTTAGGACATATGAAGTGTAAAGGTGAAAATGTATAAATCAGACTTCATAAAAGTAAAACTTGTACTCTGAAGATACTGTTAAGAAAATGAAAAGATAAGCCATTATCTGGGAAAAATATTTACAAAACAAATAAGTGACTCATCAGAATATTTAAAACTGACAATATCAAGTGCTGACAAGGATGCAGAGCAACAGGAACTCTCTACATTGGTGGTAGAAAGGCAAGATGTTAGAGCCAACATACACTTTTGTATGACTCAGCATCCTAAGAGAAATAAATTTGAAAAAGTCTGCATAAGGTCCTGTATGTGAATGTTTATAGCAATCCTATATAATAAAAGCATAGTATGCAAATTGTCCCCTCAACCGGAGTTCTTCTGGGGCCAGCTGGGGGAAGGTGACAGGGGAAGAGAGGGAGTACCCAGCCAGCAGCTGGCAGCCACTAGGGACCCTACCCGTGCATGAATTTTATGCACTGGGCCTCTAATTGTATTCCTAAGTGCCAAAAACCGGACAGAGTACAAATGCTCCTCATCTGGGGAATGGATAAACAGATTTTGTCAACCCATACTATAACAGTAAAAAGGAACAAACTACTGACATACAAATCAACATGGCAGTTAACCACAAAAGCATCTTGCTAAATAAAATAAATCAGGCCTAGCCAGTTTGGCTCAGTGGATAGAGTGTCGGCCTGCGGATTCTGGTCAAGTGCATATACCTCGCTTGCAGGCTTCTTCGGGCCCGGGCATGTGCAGGAGACAACCAGTCGATGTGTTTTTCTCACATTGATATTTATATTTCTCTCTGTCGTTCCCTCTCTCCCACTCTCTCTAAAAATTAATGGAAAAATATCCTCGGGTGAGGATTAAAACAAAAATCAGACACACTTACTGTATGATTCCATTTATTTGGCATTCTGAAATAAAGTTATAGGAACAGAAAGGAGATAGTGATTGTGAGTAGAAAGCATAAGGGATTTGACTACAAAGGAGCATTTAAAGAAACTTTTTGGGTGATTGAATTACTATATCTTCGTGGTGGTTGTGGTTAAAAGACTGTATTTATCAAAATTCATAACTATAGAACTAAAAGTTATGAATTTTACTTTGTTAATTATATCATAATAAATCTAACTTTAAAGGGAATAATTCTGCCCTGGCCTGTGTTTCTCAATGGTTAAGAAGTTGGCCCACACACTGAAGGGTTGTGGGTTCGATTCCTGGTCAAGGGCACATACCTGGGTTGCAGGTTCAATCCCTGACCCCCATTTAGAGGTAACCAATCGATGATCTCTCTCATGTGGATGTGTCTCTCCTCTTCCCTCCCTCCCTTCCATTCTCTCCAAAAAAAAAAAAAAAAAAAAAAAAATCAATGGAAAAAATATCCTCAGGTGACGATTTACAAAAAAGAAATAATTCTACAATTAGGTAAAGAAGATAGGCAGTGTGTCTAAAATCATGATATTGTTAAAAATTTTAAAGGAACCAGTCCACTAGATTTATAGTATACTTATGTAAAAATAAGAATAAGTCCTTCGAAATGCAAGTTTATAAAAAGTATAGACCAATTAAAATAACGACACAATAATAATTTGATAGTTATATCCAAGAGGGCATGTACATTTTTCTATTTTAATACTTTCTGAAGAATATAATTTTAATTTAGGAAGTTTACAAAATTGAACTCTTAAAAAAAGTTGAATTCTTTAATTCACTTAGTTTATATTAAAAACACACACAACAAAACTCCTATCTTTTATTCAGAGGATAGTAACAACAATGGTTTCTATTCCTTGATAAACATAAGGTGTTTTTGTTTTTATCTTTGTTAGATTATCTTCGTCAAAGTTATGGGCTATCTATGGACTTCAATTCGCCAAATGATTATAACAAATTGGTGCTTTCACTGTTATCTGGACTCCCAAATGAAGTGGATTTTGCTATTAATGTATGCACTCTTCTGTCAAATGAAAGCAAACATGTCATGCAACTTGAAAAAGACCCTAAAATCATCACTTTATTACTTGCTAATGCTGGGGTGTTTGACGACAGTAAGTTTTAAGCTGAACACATTGAATGATCATTCTATAAAGGTGTTATAGGTTTTGTTTTTAAGTTATTTAAGGAGAAAAGTACTTTCTATTAGTCAATATAATAACATTTTTTATTTGTTTTATTTAAATGTATTTAAAATAATAAATGTTTGCATTTTTAACTAAACAGTTTAGATCAGTGCATTTTAAAATTTGCTGCCTAAATAATCAACATAGGATTTATCAAATATTTCATATCATTTATACTTGTAATGTTTACAGAGGTAAAGGTTTTCATAAATCAAGTTTTTTATTTTCTGTGAAATTAATCTCTTACTAAATCTAGGTTTTCTTCAGACCAAATAGTTCAGTTCTCTACTTGTAGTCTAATAGCTTAATAGAGATTGAGATAATATCTTTTGAAATCTTTTCTTGCTCATAGTTTTTCTTTTTAAAACTTTTTTCATGTTAGCTGAATGTTATTGATACAAATATTTATTTGCTCCTCAACCCTCCTACCCCAACACCATTGTAACTTCTTTTTCCAGAAGTATATGCTATTAAAAGGTAAAGTATTCACTTACGATGAAATTATTTTATCATATAGGAAATATATATATATATATATATATATATGGCACAATTGACACATCCTGAGAATTTCTTGTAATACTTTATAGATTCACAATTTTTTAAATCTATAAATAGCAACATGTTTGCAAATTGGTTTCTTTTTCTGTGATTTGATTTGTGTCAAGTAGTATACTTTCAAACATAAATTTATAGGGATCAGGATCATCTAAGTAGGATTCCTTAAAAATTTGACATGTACTTATTTTATATGAAGGCAATTTCAAAATTAGCTTAAACAATAGTGGGAATTAGTTTCTTACTTAATGATTCTTATTCTTGGTCACATGGGGAAGGGACAGCGATCAGTACTTGTCAGTTTATATCGTAATTTTTAAGATCTAAATTTGGTGATTTCCATCTCAATTTTATGTTCTTTGATTCCTAATATTTTCTTTATTTTTAAATTTTATTTTTCAATTACAGTTTGCATTCAGTATTATTTTCAATTAGTTATTTTGGTATTTTAAAGATTTAACCTTCAGCGTTTAATATTGAATGAAGTTTAAAATGGTTCCACATTTTTAGAAACCTTAAAATGAAGTTTTTAGAAAGAATATTCTCAAACCAGAATAATCTTTTTTGAAGTCTTATCATTTAATCACTGAATAAGGATTTAACATTATATTTGATAGAAGTAATGTTAACAGTTATGGTTCACTGAAGTATGATATTTTTTAGACCCAGTTCATCTTACATTCTTTAAGCATTTTTATTTACCTAAAAGAATAAATTATTCAGTGTAGCAATCTAAAACATTAATAATTTAGAAAATGCAATTTAAGAAAGGCAGAAGTTTAGCATTCCAGAGTTCAGAGACTTTTTGAAGTCCCCATACTTAAAACACTGTTTTAACATTCTGAAAATGATTTATTTGAATTTGAGAATTGTGGGTATATTTGATTTGGTTAGGCTTTTGAAGGTTTTGATTTATTTTTTAGGGCATGGAATTTTAATTGAGCGATAAATATATTGCCACTTCCTTTGAAAATGTGGAATGTTGATACACTTTGTGTTTGAAGACATATAATAAAAGTAACAAAAAATTAATTTTCCATCTAATATTTGTTTTCATAATTTGAAATACTATTTCAAAAGAGATTACTATGACTTTCTATCATTTACTATGAAACAGTTTTTCGTGAACAAGAAGATATCTTAAAATGTGTTTTTACCGTTTTTCTACACCTACCTATTATTAAGGAATAAAGTGATAAAAATAATTCCATGCTATTGAATATACTATTCTTTTAGCTTTAGGATCCTTTTCTACTGTATTTGGAGAAGAATGGAAGGAGAAGACTGATAGAGATTTTGTTAAGGTAATTTTGAATACATTTTTTAAAATATTGAATCATTGTATTCATGTACCCAAGGGCCAATATCATGTATATATCATTTATTTACATGATACTACCTATACATTAATCTTTATTGCAATACATAGAGATATCTACTTAAAAGTTGTGATTAAGTTGCATAAAGTGCTTTTAGAATAGCTAATAAATGGAAATAAAGTTCTTATTCTAGTAACCATTGATTTCTGAAAATGATAAATCTTTAATAAAACAATAAATCTGAGGAAACCCAGATTCTGAGCAGCAGTGTGAGTAATTTCCTAATGGCTGTTTTTCAGTTTGTTTAATGACTCTTTAGCTGTGTCTAATATTCCACTTGACTCATCTGTTAAGTTTTATTTTAGTGATTGTTTTAATTTCTAGAAATTCATTTTGTAATTTTCCAAAGTAGCCCTTTAATGTTTTTAATAATTTTAATTTATATATATTTAAAGTATATTAAAAAGATAAAATTTCTTAATATATAAATTGCATATTATAAGTAAACAATATATATTATATATAAATTGTAAATTACACACACACACACAAACATGTACATCTGATAATTCTGATAGCTAAGCCTCTTGCAACTCTTTCTACTCTACTTTTGTGTTTTATAATGTTGGTTTATAAATTTCAGCAGATCTGTTTATGTGGGATTTTTCTTTTTACAGATTAAATGGAGAGTTTATTTCTCCACTTCTGTATTGCATTTGCCAAAAAACTGAAAAGAAATTCTGATCAGAATGACTTTATAATAGTTTCTTTAGTGGAGCTTTTCAAATAACTCTTGATAGTAAAACAAAACCCATGCGGGTTCTAGAGCAGGCTAGTAGTGAAATATTTAGGGGATTGTTTTTTAACTCAAAGCACAAGTAGAGACAATCTTTTTTTATCTCCCTTCTTTTGAGGTTACTAGACTTTCACATTTCTCACATGATACGAAGTTGCATTTCAAATTCTCCACAAGCCGACACAAAGACCTGTCCTCACCCGACCCATTAAAATCTAAGCCTCTTGGTTGTAGTTAAGCAGATAATTTTCTTTAACTCAGAATATTAGTAATTAAGTATAAGATGTTCAAAATGTTTATTTACATATTTACATATGCAATCACAAAGGAGAGTGGGGCTGTCATTATAATCACTAATCACATGAAATCAGAAAGACACAAATAAGTTAAGAATGATTAGATGATCATCTCTGTTGTATTTTTTTATTGATTTCTGCTGTTTATATTATTTTCGATAAGCTATGTTCTTTGGGTTTAATTTGCTACACAATTTCTAACTTCTTAATCTGGTGTTTACATCATTGATTTTTGTTTTTATTTTTTCTAATACATTTAAATCCATAAAATTCCCTATAAGCACACATTTAACTTAATTCTTTCCATTTTAATATTTCATCTTTAATTCTGCTTAAAATAACTTCTAATTACCATTATGCTTTACTCTTTGGTACATGGATTAGTTGAAGGGAATTTTCTTAATTTTCAAAAACATAGGACTTTTTAAAAAATATCTTTATATTGATTCTTAGAGAGAGGGGGAAAGAAAAGGAGAGAGAGGGAGAAAAACATCAATGTGAGAGCAAAACAGCATTTAGCTGCCTCCTGCATGCCCCAACTGGGGATGGAGCCCCAAACCGGGCATGTTCTCTGACTGGAAATCGAACCACCAACCCTTTAGTGTATGGGAGGGAGAATGCCCAACTAACTGAACCACATCGGTCAGGGTCATATGAATTTTTTTTTTAGTTTTCTATTTCTTATTAATATCTAACTGAATTTCACTATAGTTATAGCTTTCTAGTCTATTGTACATACTCTAAAGTATATTTTTTTGCCTTTAAATCTACTTTTTTTTCCCTGTCTGATACCAGTATAACCATGTCTACTTTCATTTGGTAGGTGTTTATATAGTTCATATTTTACTTTTAACCTTTCTTTGTGTGTGTTTTAATTGATTTTTTTAAAAAAACTCTTTATTATTGAGAATATTACATATGTCTTCTTTTTCCTCCATTGACCTTTCCCTGCCCGCTTCTGCCCCCTCGCACAGGCCCTCACCTCTCTACTGTCTTTGTCCATTGGTTCTGCTTATATGTATACATAAAAGTCCTTTTGGTTGATCTCCCGCACCATCACCACCACCACTTCCCCTGGCCCACCCCTCTCTTCCCTCTGTTTGATGCTTCTATTCTCTGGTTCTATTTTTGTTCATCAGTATGGAGTTTCCTCAAAAAATTAAAAATGAAACTCCCATTTGACCCAGTAATCTTACTTCTAGGAATATAGCCCAAGAAATCATAAACACCAATCTGAAAGAATATATGTACCCCTATGTTCATAGCAGCAACATTTACAATAGCTGGGACTTGGAAACAGCCTGAGTGCCCATCAGCAGATGAGTGGATTGAAAAACAGTGGTACATCTACATAACGGAATACTATGCTGCTGTAAAAAAGAAAGAACTCTTACTATTTGCAACAGCACGAACAGACCTGGAGAGCATTATGCTTAATGAAATAAGCCAGTTGGGGAAAGATAAATATCACATGATCTCACTCATTTGTGGAATATAATGTTTGAATTGACTTTAAAGAGAGAGGAAGGGAGAGGGAGAGATAGAAACCTCAATCGGCTGCCTCCTGCATGCCCCCTACTGGGAATAGAACCCACAACCTGGGCATGTGCACCCACCTGAAATAGAATCTGTAACCAGTGAGCCACACCTGGTGGGCTCAACCTTATTCTTAATTTTTTAGATGACTTTTTGTAAAAAAAATTTTTCTCCAGTGTGAAAAACTTGGTTTTTAAATTAGTGTATTTATTCCATTTACCTTAAATGTAATTTTGATGTAATTGTATTATTATATTTAAATTTACCATATTTTGCATTGGTTTCTATACATTCTGCCTGTTCAGTTTTTTGGATTTTTTTCCCTTCTTACCTTTTTTTCAATTTATTTGAATGAATATTTTTTATTAATTAATTTTCCATCCTTTTAGTTTGGTATTTGTACACATATTCTGTTCTCTCATTGATTGCGCTAGAGATTATAGTTAAATTCTTACTAATTTAGTAAATTAGTACTTTTACTACTGTACACTTTTTAAATAATTCAGGGACAGTGGAATGACTCCATCTCCATTTACTGACTTTGATTTACATACTACTTTTTTATGTATTACTTTGCTCTTTTTCAGGTTTCTTAAAATAGAATCTTAGACCATTGGTTCTAAACTTTTCTTGACTAATATCAGTGTATAAAGCTATAAATTCCCTTTATAAACTGCTTTAATTTGTCCCCAAAATTTTATGTTGACTTTTTATTTACATTTAAATCAAGATATTGTCTTATTTCCCTTGTGATTTTTGTCTTTGATTATTAGGTTATATAGATGTATTCTGTTTAATTTCTCACTGTTCATTTTCAAAATAGCTTTCACTGTCATTATTATTATTGATTTTTAATCACATTCCATTATTGTCAGAGAACATATTCTGTATGTTTTCAGTTCTTTTAAACTTATCAAGACTTGTTTTAGGGTTCAGTATATGGTCTTCTTGATGAATGTTTCCTGCGACTTGAAAAGAGTGTGTGTTCTATTGTTGGATATAGTATTTATTGATATCAGTTAAATCAAGGTGGTTGACAGTGTTGTTCAAGAGTTCTCTATTATTATTACTTTTCTATGTAATTATTCTATGATTTCTTGAGAGATGAGTGTTGAAATTATCAACTATAATTATGAATATTTACATCCCCTTTCAGTTGTCATTTTTGGCTTCATGTATTTTGAGCCTCTGTTATTAGTTGCATATACGTATAGGATTGTTATATTTTCTTGATGACTCAGCTTTTATTTACCCATGGTCATTTAAAATTTCATGTTTGATAATTTTTTTTTTTTGGTAAAGATTTATAAATTTATTAGGTCATCTGCAAAACAGATGGGCTGAGCCCAAAAATGGCACCAGCCTCAGGTTTGATATCTTTCTTTGAATTTCCTGTGGCCCTGTTTTTCTTGGTTATTGAACATTGTCTCTGTTCTTCATATTCCTAGTTCTTTTTTTTATTGTTGCTTAACATTTTTTAATCATGAGGGTTTTGGTTTTCTTTTTGTTGGGGGTCCTTTTGGTGGTGGACTTTCTCTCAGACTAGTGACTTTAACTGCAAAAGAACCTATTTCCCAAAGTAAAATGCAATTATTTTGAAACATACATCTGAGAAGTTTTAGAAATAAAAAGTGAATAGCCCATGTACTTCTTTGGGTACAGAAATAACAAGATAATGCAGTTAAATGGCATAGACAAATTGAAATTCATTTTGTATAGACATATCAGTCATTTTGTATAGACATATCAGTATAAAAGCATTTGTTTCTTAGCCTGGAAAAGAACATTAAACAAGAGATTTTGACTCATCTCCTCTCACATATGGATTAAAAAAAATAGTTTGTAGATACATAATACTGGAAAGCAACTTCAATATCTGGGTTACCAATTCAGGAACACATAACTTCACCACTTGCTGTTTGATTTCCTTCTAGATATTGATTTACTCAGTAACTGTGTCTCTGGAGTGTCTATAAACAGGAAGACAGTGATTATGTGCAATTTACTAGTGGGATTAATGACTTATAATTTTAATGAGCATAAATACTTTCTGTATATTTTTCATAGCTATAAAGTGATCGGAAAATATCTGGTTCATATTGTTGACAATGTCACAGGTACTGCTAATATTACTATGGTTTGTCTAACATTTAGAGTTGAAGAAAATGCTAAGGAACTGCTAAATTTTAGTTAGAGGTTATGAACATGTCATTTTTCCCACTCATTCAAGTTCATATATGCCCTAATTTCTTTCACAGACTTTTTAAGGATCTGTGGATCCCAAGCCAAGACCCCCTGGTTCAGAATGATACTGTATTGTATAAGTTCCTTAACTATAGAAAATCAAGCATTTATGTTAATGAATTAAATACACAGAATATAGTGATACCTATATGAACTAAAAAAAGTTTTATCATGTGTGACTACTTTTAAAGTAATAGAATAATTCTTTGAAATTGTCAGAATTAAGCATAACAATTTCTCATTATAGTTTTGGAAAGACATTGTTGATGATAATGAAGTCCGTGACCTTATTTCTGATAGAAACAAGTCTCATGGTAAGTCAGTAAGAAAAAAATTTAAATTACTTTGAAATATCAATAATAACAAATGAAATATTAATGAGTATAATATATATTTTCTGTTGTAGAAGGTGCATCAGGAGAATGGATTTGGGAGTCTTTATTTCATCCACCTCGAAAGCTGGGCATTAATGATATTGAAGGACAGCGGGTACTTCAGATTGCAGTGATTTTGCGAAACCTTTCTTTTGAGGAGGGAAATGTTAAGCTCTTGGCAGCTAATCGTACCTGTCTTCGTTTCCTATTACTTTCTGCACATAGTCATTTTATTTCCCTAAGGCAATTAGGCCTTGACACATTAGGAAATATTGCAGCTGAGGTAAGCATGTGACAGTAACTTGAAACAGTTTTAATAGTTAGTGACAATATTTACTTTAAATTTTCAGGATGTGGCATTATTATATTTGCCATATTTATAGAGTATTCAATGCTTACATATAGTTTTTGCCTAAAATGGTATTGTAGAAGTATCACACACTTTTATGAGTAAAAGAAATATTTGAAATGATGCTCCAAATGTAGTGGTGGCTGTGCTCACAGTAATTACATTTTTTAAAGTTATGCAATATTATTCTATTCACTTTTATTAAATGTGAAATATACTACATTGGAAGAGGCCTACCTCAACAATAGTGTCCTTTCTTTTTCTAGCTTTTATTGGATCCTGTTGATTTCAAAACTACTCATCTGATGTTTCATACTGTTACAAAATGCCTAATGTCAAGGGATAGATTTTTAAAGATGAGGGGTAAGTGCCAAAACTTTTTATCATCTGTTAAAAAACAAATACTAGTATAGCCCTGGTCTGGCTACTCAGTGGGTTGGGTTGCTGTCCCCTACACCAAAAGGTTTTGGGTTTGATTCCCAGCCAGGGCACATACCTGTGTTGTGGATTTGATCCTCACTTGGGCATGTTCAAGAAGCAATAGTTGACCGATGTATCTCACATCGATGTTCCCCCCGCCTAAGATCAATTAAAATAATTTTAAAAATATGTCCTCGGATGAGGATAAAAAAAACCCCAAATACATTTTTTTATGTGTATGCTTTTCAGGCATGGAAATTTTGGGAAATCTTTGCAAAGCAGAAGATAATGGTGTTTTGATTTGTGAATATGTCGATCAGGACTCATACAGAGAGATCATTTGTCATCTCACTTTACCTGATGTACTGCTCGTAATCTCAACACTCGAGGTGCTATATATGCTCACAGAAATGGGAGATGTAGCTTGTACAAAAATTGCTAAAGTAGAAAAGAGCATAGGTAAGACTAACCAAAGACACATGTAAGTTATTTGTTTTTTTTTTTAATTGAGATGAAAATATGTAATGTGCTATATGAAATCACAATTGATATTTGGGGTTTACTGTTTATTTTGAGGAGTCATTATCCTTTCAGACACATTTGTTTGTATTATTCTTTCTGCTTATTTTAGATGAGCAAGAAACTTCTATCATAACACAGTCCAGGATGTATGTGACTAGTAATCCCTATTCCTTCTCTTTATTACTGTTACTATATTAGTATGTGAAATTTGAAATCAACAGAACTGCTATATTTGACTGCCTGGGAATAGGTCTTTCTAGTTCAGATGGTCAGCTGTTACTATTAAGCAACTAACGTTAAGTAAAACAAGCTTCTTTTTGTCCCTAGAAGTTGCTGATAGTGGTACTATCCTTAAACCAGTGAACTCACCCCCATGGCAGGTTATGAGTGTTAAATATACTTACTAAATGAAGTATGTCATGTTAACATTTTACTCAGTGATTCCAATGTTTTCTTTCTTTTATATAAATTTTAAAATCAGAGTTAATAAAGATTTTGTATGAAATTATTTTGGAGATATTGTGTCACTTTCCATATAAAAGTTCCTGAGTCTGGCTACACATCAGAATCACTTGGGAAGCTCCTTAAAAATAAGGAAACCTAACCCCCACTTCAGAGTTACTAATCATGCTTTAGAGACTGAGCCTAAAATCTTTTTTTAAAGATCCACAAATAAGTCTAATGTACAACAATTTATAGACTGGATTTGAGAAGTAGTATTCTGTACAGCATGTGGTTTTAAGCGGTATGATTTTTAAAATAATATTATTGATTGATAACTATTGGTTTTTTAATTTATTTTAGACATGTTAGTATGTCTAGTTTCTATGGATATTCAAATGTTTGGCCCTGATGCACTAGCTGCAGTAAAACTCGTTGAACATCCAAGTTCCAGTCATCAAGTTTTATCTGAAATTAGGACGCAAGCTGTAGAGCAAGTTCAAACCCAGATCCATGTAGCAGCTGCCCCAGGTTAGTGTTTTTACATATTCTTTTTCAGTGTGGTTATTGGTGTGTAAGATTTAATACTAAGGATAATTTTTGATGTGCACTTTGGGGAACTGAGATTTTATAGTAGAGTAGGCTAAAGGAGAACTTGAGTATGTACTTTAATTTCTTAGTTATAAATTCCAGGAGCAGTATAATATAATAATATAATAGGGAGATGAAGTTAAGCGGCATTTTGAGGATTGTTAAGGATTAGATTCACAATTGTGAGAGCAATAAGAAGTGCCACAAGTCGGCTTCATGTGATTTTGGTCATTGGAAATTGATAAACTAAGAATGGGTTAATCATATATTATGTTATAATTTTCTCAGGTGGTCATCAGAATACATCAGGACAGTATCCCCCTAATACTTCTAAATCTTGGCCCAAACACCACAGAACCAGAGCCTAGGATCACTCACATGTGCATATGTACACAAACACATGTACAAGCATGTATACTGGCATTTTACACCCTTCCTAGAGTCCTTTGGGTAAATTCTGTTTAACTCAAATATCTTTCATTAAAATTCAGACCTCTCTAATAACTAATATTCTCCTTGGATTTTTTTCTTCTGGCTCAGTCATTATATTTTACCACTTTCAGCCTTTTTGTAGAGTGCTCTCTCCACCTTCATTTGTCCTATAAAAAACAATCCATCTTTTACTTTACCTGCTCTCCCACCTCTCACTATTCCCAAGACATTTCTCTTTTCTTGTATTTTGTTTTTAATGGAGGGTGCTCATTTTCTCAGTTGATCTTACCTCTGACTTGCAGGTAGTATGCATGCTGTGTGGCATAAATTTCTTCAAACTTTTTAATCCTTCACTTACAAGCTTATTGTCATCTGAACTTTATTCTCTTTCAGCTTCCCCTTGTCATAGGAAGACATGTTAAATTCTTCTGAAGCTGTGCTCTAAATACCAGTCTTTCCCATTTTCTCATTCCTATGCCTTAACCTCTCTCTTTACCTGCTTCTTCATTTCAGGCTAGAAATATATTAAGATCTTTCTCAACCTCCTCCTACACTACCCTTAAAACCAAAATCTCATTATCCTTAATCTTTACAGCATTCATTTAATCACCAGATTTTGTTGAGTCTCCTAAATACCTGGACCTCTTCAATTATCAGTGCTTATGACTCAGTTCAGACTCTAATCATACCTCTCCAGCCATCTTGTTCCCCTTTTATTTAATTGTGGTCCCAATCTCTATTTTACTATGATGGAATCAAGATTATATGCTGTATTTACTCAAAGTATGTAATATGTCACATATTTCCATTATGTTCTTCAGAAATATATGGTAGAGTTGTATCACATGTGCATGTAATTTGAATTCAACCAACAGACTGGATAAATAATAGAAGGCATGAAAAAAAAATAGGTAGTTTTGACTACTAATCTATTCAGTGAGCTTTCACCCACAGGCAATAGATGTCAAATAGGCAGTGCATATTGGGGAATCAGTGGTCAGAATATTAATGGTTTCTCAACCTTTAAAAAGAAGTGAAATACTTCATATTGCCAATTAAGAAAGTGGTGGAGGTCTATGTTTATCCTCAAAGAAACTGAAGGTTAAATTAATTGAGGGCCATAGAGAAACTGTCCAACCAAGAAAGGAATAAATTACCAGTGATACAGAGTCATAATGGACTATTTGAAAAATATTCAGGGGTATTTTCGATGAACGCTGCTATTTTTTTTGCCTTGTCACTAACCTGTGACCTTAATGAATGAACTCACTAAGATTTGGTCCTCATTTGACAAGTGGATGAAATTAAACATTGAGTTTGTTTATTTATGTAGTCATTCATTTATAGAAGGTGTGAATAGGTCTCTAAGGACTAAAAGTTCATTTTTGATCTAGTGAGCACTTTATTACTTGCTCATTATGAATGACAGCTTTTTAATTATTTGATTAGTTACCATTTATAGTTTTGTGCATACCCTTCACCTCTGCCCCCCTAGTTTAATACTGCTTTCTTTAGGGAATGGTCATCTGCAAACTTTTCCCTCACTTTCTCTCATCACTATGAAAAGTTAAGTAATCTTTCACCCATTTTTAGGTTGACATCTAAATTTCTTCACCATAATCCTACAGTATTATTAAGAATGGGTGAGATTTAAAACTTTCTGTTCCAAAGTTGGAGAAGAGCAGTTATCAAAGAGGAGGTGATGTGTTCAGGCAACACAGTTTTAGGAAAGAATATATACAAAAGTTGAGTATCTGTAAATTGATTCCTTTTAAAGTATAAGTTCCTTACTGCCCTGGCCTGGAGGCTTGGCTGGTTAGAGTGTTGTCCCGGTGTGCCTGGGTTGTGCCTTCAGTCCCAGATAGGACATGTGCAAGGGGCAGCCAATGGATGCATGGATAGGTGGAGCAGCCTGTCCCCCTGCCCCCAAACCTCACTCCTCTAAAGTCAATAAAGAAAAAAAAATTGCAAAAAAAAAATGTGCTTTCCGCTCTAACCCGTTTGGCTCAGTGGATAGAGCGTCGGCCTGCGGACTGAAAGGTCCCAGGTTCGATTCCGGCCAAGGGCATGTACCTTGGTTTGCGGGCACATCCCCGGTGCGGGGGTGTGCAGGAGGCAGCTGATCGATGTTTCTCTCATCGATATTTCTGACTCTCTGTCCCTCTCCCTTCCTCTCTGTGAAAAATCAATAAAATATATTTTTTAAAAAATATGCTTTTAATGTATAAGCAGCTTTGTATCCTTTGAAAGGTCTTCAGGTATCCTGAGGAAAATGCTTCTCAGTTTGTAGCCACTTTCATAGTAATTCTGTTTCCAGATTATATTCTTAATTTAACTGTGGCTGCATCATTCTTTCTTAATTATGTTTGTAAAGTTTCTTATAATACTAACATAATTTTTAATGTTTCATGCAATTGTTAATTGATTCAGTATATTTTAGTCTAAGTACTGTATACTCTCATGTACAGTTGGTGAAGAAAAAGGAATATTTCTACATAGGTTCAGGCCCTAGAAAGGTATTTTCTGTAACAGTGTTTTCAAGTTAGGAGGAGAAGAAATGATAAGCTAAGGTTGCACTAGGAAAGTAATTTTGGTTCTAATTATGTTCTATTAAGAAGAAGCAGCTTCGCCCTAGCTGGTTTGGCTCAGTGAATAGAGCGTCGGCCTGTGGACTGAAGGGTCCTGGGTTCGATATTCCGGTCAAGGGCATGTACCATGGTTGCGGGCACAGCCCCAGCAGGGGGTGTGCAGGAGGCAGCTGATCAATGTTTCTCTCTCATCGATGTTTCTAACTATCCCTCTTCCTTCCTCTCTGTAAAAAAATCAATAAAATATATTAAAAAAAAAAAAAAAAGCAGCAGCAGCCTTATGATCCAGTAATTCCACTTCTGAGAATTTATCCAGTGAAACCCAAAACACTAATTCAAAAGAATGTATGTACCCCTGTGTTCATTACAGCATTATTTACAATAGCCAATATTTGAAAGCAGCCCAAGTTCCCATCAGTAGATAAAAAAGCTGTGGTACAGCTACATAATGGAGTACTACTCTGCCATTAAAAGGAATAAAATTTTACCCTTGTGACAGCATGGATGGATCTGGAGAACATTGTGTTAAGTGAAATAAGCCAGTCAGAGAAAGACAAGTACCATATGATTGTACGCATATGTGTAATTTAATGAACAAACTGAACTTCCAAGCAAAATAGAGACAGACTCATAGATAAAGAGTAGGCAGACAGCTGGGGAGAGAAGGGGATTGAGCAAAAAAGAAAAGAAAAAGAACTCATGGACATGGACAGTAGTGTGGTGATTGCGGGTTGGAGGGGATGGGTGGAAGTAGAAGATGGCATAGAGAGGATAAAAGGTGATGGAAATATTTTAATTTTTAAATTTTAAAAAAAGAAGCAGCATATTGTCCTGGTGATGTAGCTCAGTTGGTTAGAGCATTGTCCCCATACACCGCCATTTCAGGTTTGCCCGGGGCACATACAAAAATCAACCAACGAATGCATAAATAAGTGGAGCAACAAATAGATATTTCTCCCTCTTCTTCTCCCCCTCTCCCTCTCCCCCTCCCTTCTCTCTCTCTCTCTCTCTCTCTCTCTCTCTCTCTCTCTCTCCCCCCCCCCATCCCCAATCAGTCCATTAAAAAAAAAAAAAGTAGCAGCATATCACAGTATAAACTCTGAAATGTAATAAACCTGGATTCAAATCCACCACTCCTAAAAGAAGGCTTTTCATCTACACCAGCTTTGCTGTTTTCTACCATGTGTTCCTTTGTGAACTTAGTCTCTGAGCTTTAATTTTTTAATCTGCAAAATGGGGATAATTAAATTTAGACCTATACATAATAGTGAACCAAATAATGTAAGTGGTTCATTTACTCTGTTACAGAGTAAATGTTCACTAAATGACTGCTATTAGCTGCTACTCTAATGTGGGGAGGCGGGGGCTGATCAAACAAAGGTCAGAATTGCTTTCGATCATTCACAGATTGGCTGTGCTATGGAGCGCCTCTACTTCCAGTAACTTAGAAATGCATTTGTTCTGTTTGAGGATTCTGAGAAGTTTTGCTAAAATGTCACCTGCCAAAAAGTGGGTTCATTTTATAAATTTAAAAATTATAAAATCATGCTGATTCAGTGGTGAAATAGTATAATATAACTAGTTCATATAAATATGTGAGATTCATATTATATATAACTTATATGTTTATATTAACTCATATTTTTATGTTTTTATTATTTCCTTTGTTATATAGCATAGCATTTCAGCTTTAAGTTAATCTTATCTCAGAAATTTTATATATGCCACTAATAGAGTCAATATTCATCTTTTAAATTCAAAAGAGACATAATTTCTGATACAGTCTGCTTCTGTAACTAAAGTAAGAGGTACTTATTTACTGATAAGCTGAGCTTTGTGACTTTGGGTTAGGTATTGTAATCACTTTGAGTCTGAGTTTCCTTATCTGTACTCATCTCACAAAAGAGTTAAGAAAGATAATGTATGTAAAGTATTTAACCTAGTGACTGACCCATGGGAGAAAGTTTATATTAGCGATATAATCCATATTATTGTTATTATTTGAATGATGGTAAGGTTAAAAAAAAATAGTTCATATAAAGCATCTAAGACAGTGCTTGGTATAATATGTGCTCCATTATAAGTTTCTTTCTCAAATTCGACATTTTCATTATGTTTATATACCTTTTTAAAAGGTATTCATTGTGAATATTAATTGCTTCAGTATCCATGAACTAAATATGTCATATAATGACTAAATTTTTAAAAATGATGTAAATGTATTTTTTTCTTTAGCTTCCAGAGCAGTTGTAGCACAGCATGTTGCTCCACCTCCAGGAATAGTGGAAATAGATAGTGAGAAGTTTGCTTGTCAGTGGTAAGTGGTTTATTTCTATTAAGGCTTTATCTTTGGGAAGAATAAAGCAAAAGAGATAAGGAAATGTATTTCAGCAGTCATCCTTTTCAATTAGAATAGAATATCATTTATACGAAGAATGGGCAATATAAAACTATTTCACCTATATTTTGGAATTATTTGAAAGAAAAATATTTATCAGAATCTTCAGAATTATAATAGTCTTTGACTAGAATTGTATTAAATTACACCACCTAATTTCAGAGTAAAATTTGTGTTAAAAAATTATCTTTGACTTTGTAGAAAATAAAGTTTGTCAGATTGTAGAATTTGTTTTTCTCAAATTAAGGTTTTATTAAACTAAATTGGACTGACATTAAGAAAATAAAACCACATTTTGTTAAGTGTCTTATCTTTTTCATCAAAAGCAAAACTTCTTATTCATTGCTAGTTAATTTTTTCTTTTTGTGAGTAAGGGGAAACTAACCAAATGATAGACTAGCAGTTTGTCTATATTGAAATGAGCAGCTTTGAAAATAATATTTTCTTGAGAAGATTGAGTAGTTATATCTCAGCCATTTTCTGAAGGAAAAACAAAGTTCAATTTCATTTTGTCTTAGATAGTTGCCTCTACATTATTTATGAATTTTAACTTAATTTATTTAGAAGATTAACAGATTGAAATGAAGGTTATTTTCCTGTAAAGTATTACTTTTAAAACATTCTTTCCTTGATACCTTTCCCTATTCTCCAACATTATTTGTTTCCCATTCCATACTCTGTCATTCTGTGTTCCATATTTTTGGTGCTTTCATATCTTTGTTCCTATGACAATTTTCTCTAGACTTTTCTACTTTACTTAAATCAGGTTTATGGTTTTAAATATCTCTAATTATTTGCTTTCCACACGTTCTATATAGTTATACCATGACTTGATGAATCTCTTCCAATAATGTTTGGAAATGTTTATCTTCTACATTGAAAAAAAAAAAAAGTTTTTTGTGTCTAGTTGTTTTGAAAACTCTGTACTCAAAGGTTTATGAAAGTTGAAAAAAGTATGTACCGAGAAACCAAGATGGCAGCATTGTTTAAACACTGGAAATTGCTGCCTCGCACAACAACTTCAAAAATACAACTAACAGACAAAATGGACATCATTCAGAACCACAGGAAGGCTGGCTGAGTGAAAATTCTACAACTAGAAGGAAAGAGAAAAGCACACTGAGACTCAGAGGAGGTGCGGTGTGGAAGTAAAGTGCAGAGGTACGGAGGCGAATGCAGAAAGGGCTGGCAGCTGAGGACGCGGCGCACGTGGAAAGGCCTGGCAGCTGAGGACACGGTTGTCTTTTTCAATCCGGAGGGCGTCTCAAGCTCCTGACTGCTCTGAACTCCAGTTCTGGACGAGTCTCTGGGGACTCAGACTCATACAGGAGAAACTGGACTGTCTGGCATCGGTCGGAACTTGAGGGCGGCTTTCTCTCAGAGGTACTTGCAGCGATTACGGGGACACTGAGAAGCGGGACATCTTAGGGAAGGACTGAGGAGCAGCCATAGCTGCTTGCTCCGCCCTGTTGATTCCCCAGGGACCCTGCCCCACCCAAGCTGCAGCAGAGGCTTTTGCATTTGAAAGGCCTGGCCCTTTGCAATCTGAAAATTACCTAACAAACTGTAGCTGGGTCAGAAAAACCCAGAACTTCCAAAAGAAGGCCCAAGGCCCCACAGCAGCTTGCATTGCTTCACAGTTGGGCTCCTGCTGGGTAGCCTCAGACAGAGGCTAAATTAGCACCTCCTTAGAGATCTAAGAGACAGTGTACCCAGTAGTCAGAGTGGGACCATCCAATTATAACTCCGCAGATCCATAAGGGACACACTCAGGGGGCAGACTCAGTGAGCACCAAAGCCCCACTGAAGTAAGTCTTGCCCCAGAAGGGTGTCTCCAGCACAGAAGTTCTCCCACTGCAGACACAACTGATATTCACAGCCAATTGGCCCGGAGGTCAATTCCTCCCAGTGATACCTACAACAATCAAGGCTTAACTACAACAAGACTGTGCACAAAGCCCACAAAGGGGTGCACCAAGAGTGTCCACCTCAGGTAATTGGGGAGGCTGAACCACTGGGCCCTATAGGACACCTAGTACACAAAGCCACTCTGTCAACACAGGGAAACATAAAAAATGTGGAGACAAAGAAACAGGTCACAAATGACAGAAATGGAGGAAAGCAAACTACTGGATATAGAGTTCAAAACCACGGTTATAAGGTTTTTCAAGAATTTTCTAGAAACCACCGATAAATTTAGTAAGACCCTCAGGAAATCTAGTGAGACCCTCGAGGTTATGAAAAAGGACCAACTAGAAATTAAGCGTACACTGACTGAAATAAAGAATATTATACAGAGTTCCAACAGCAGACTAGAGGATCACAAGAATCAAGTCAAAGATTTGAAATATGAAGAAGCAAAAAACACCCAACTGTAAAAACAAAAAGAAAAAAGAATCCAAACATATGAAGATAGTGTTAGGAGCCTCTGGGACAACTTCAAGCGTTCCAACATCCGAATTATGGGGGTGCCAGAAGAAGAGAGAGAGCAAGCTATTGAAAACCCATTTGAAGAAATAATGACAGAAAACTTCCCCTACCTGGTGAAAGAAATAAACTTACAAGTCCAGGAAGCGCAGAGAACTCCAAACAAAAGAAATCCAAAGAGGACCACACCAAGACACATCATAATTAAAATGCCAAGAGCAAAAGACAGAGAGAGAATCTTAAAAGCAGCAAGAGAAAAAAAGTCAGTTACCTACAAGGGAGTAGCCATACGACTGTCAGCTGATTTCTCAACAGAAACTATGCAGGCCAGAAGGGAGTGGCAAGAAATATTCAAAGTGATGAATGCCAAGAACCTACAACCAAGATTACTTTACCCAGCAAAGCTATCATTCAGAATTGAAGGTCAGATAAAGAGCTTCACAGATAAAAAGCTAAAGGAGTTCACCACCAAACCAGTATTATACGAAATGCTGGAAGGTATCCTTTAAGAAGAGGAAGAAGAAGAAAAAGGTAAAGATACAAATTATGAACAACAAATACACATCTATCAACAAGTGAATCTAAAAATCAAGTGAATAATCTGATGAACAGAATAAACTGGTGAATATAATAGAATCGGGCACAGAAAGGGAGTGGACTGACTATTTTTTTGGGGGGAAAGGAGGGGTGCGGGAAAAGACTGGACAAAAATCGTACATCTATGGATAAGGACAGTGGGGGGGAGGGGGGGTAAGTGCAAGGGTGGGGTGTGAACCAGGTGGATGGGAGCCATGGGGGGAAAAAAGAGGAACAACTGTAAGAATCTGAACAATAAAGATTTAATTCAAAAAAATAAAAATAAAAAAGTATATACCATATCTACTGTAAAATGTGTGGTGTTAGGTATAAATTTGGTCTTATAAATCTCAGTTGCACATTTCTGCCACTTCTGGGGGGAGGGGAGAGACTCATTTTGCCATTATTTTATCGTACTTATTATTTGATGCAGTTTACAAGAAACAGTTGTAAGTTGGCCTGTTATATGTATAAGTCCTAGACAGAGTCCTATAAGGGTAACTAGGCCTTCAATTCTAACTGAAGTTTGAAATAATCTATAAGAATAGATTTCTCTGAAGTGGGGAATGAGAGTGTATAGCAATAGGTCATAATTGGGAACTTGTTATATTTTTAATATTACAAGACAGGGACCTGAGTTTTATTTATTCACTAAGTAAAACTTTTTGTTGCAGAATATTTGTTGCCAACAGACCAAATCTGTTCTTGCTGGAATATGAACACAGTTTTTATTTTGTTGTTAATGATGTTTACATTAAAATAAGTATGATTAAATAGTTAATCTCTTTATTTGATTTAGTCTGTCTAAAAGATAGCATGTATTTTTGCTAATAATATATGAAGCAGTAAAATTTGACTAGGCATAATTATTAGTTTATAATACATTGCCTTCATATGGTAGTAGCACACTTAAATATAGACTCTCCTATAGTGTATTGCATAATGCAATTTATTTTTCTCCTCTTTTAGGCTAAATGCTCATTTTGAAGTAAATCCAGATTGTTCTGTCTCTCGAGCAGAAATGTATTCTGAGTACCTCTCAACTTGCAGTAAATTAGCTCGTGGTGGAATCCTAACATCAACTGGATTTTATAAATGTCTTAGGTAGGATCCATGTTCTTAACTTTAAGTAAAGTTAGTTTACATCACTTACAACCCTTCTTATTCTTGAGAAAATACTATATATATATATATATGTTTTAAATATCTCTACTACTTAAAATTTCATATAATTAGGTTGTTAGTATGGTGGAAGTTTAAATACAGGGCAATTTTGGACATCACATCTGGTGTTTATGTTTGAACATTATGAGGTTTATCAAAGAAAGCGAAGGAAGAAATTGAGTTTGCTTTTTTTCTGCCTACTTTTATTTGTTAAAGACATGACTTTTGCCCTTTCTAATCTTGAATAATAAGCTATAACTAACACTCTTCAAATATTAAAGTTCTTTGACATTTTACAAAATTCATAAAATAGGCATTGCCTAGATGCAGCTTTTTTGTTCATTATATATGCAGTAGAACTGTTTAAAACCCAACAATGTTAATAGTTATTTTAAAAACTGGAGAATTGATCTTTTATATTTCTTTCTCTGCTTCCCACCCTTGCAGAATATAGCTGTTTGAATCACACTGATTTATACCTAAGTAGCAGTGAGTAGATTGCTACTGTTGTGTAAACATTGTTAGAAGTTAGTGTTTTTTGCTAGTGTGCTAGTAATCAAAACTGAGTATTGTGTACTTTACAGAACGGTGTTTCCAAATCATTCAGTGAAGAGAGTGGAGGATTCCAGTAATAGTGGGCAGGCGCATATTCATGTAGTAGGAGTAAAACGGAGGGCTATACCACTTCCCATTCAGATGTACTATCAGCAGCAACCAGTTTCTACTCCTGTTGTTCGTGTTGATTCTGTTCCTGATATATCTACAAGTCCTTCACCTGCAGGTAATAATTTTTATTGATTTAAATATTACCAAGTTAATGAAATGTATATTGTATACATTAAAATGAAATAGCTTTTCCTTGTTTTTCCAGTAGCATTTTCTGTTATTTAATCATATGATGCAAAGTTGTTAGATATTAATTTCTTAAAACTATTTTCTTGTCTTAAGTAAAACAATTCCTACATGCAGCTTTCCAGTCATTTCATTATAAAGTTTGACTTTTCCCCTATATTTTCAGGAATCCCTCATGGACCACAAACTGTAGGAAACCATTTTCAGAGGACTCCTGTTACCAATCAATCTTCAAATTTGACTGCAACACAAATGTCTTTTCCAGTACAAGGTGTTCATACTATGGCACAGACTGTTTCAAGAATTCCACCAAATCCTTCAGTTCATACCCACCAGCAACAAAATGCTCCGGTGACTGTCATTCAAAATAAAGCTCCAATTCCTTGTGAAGTTGTTAAGGCTACAATGATCCAGAATTCTATACCCCAGACGGCAGTTCCTGTTAGTATTGCTGTAGGAGGAGGAGCTGCACAGAGTTCTGTGGTTCAGAATCATAGTACAGGGCCACAGCCTGTTACAGTTGTAAATTCCCAGACATTGCTTCATCATCCATCTGTAATTCCACAACAGTCTCCATTACATACCGTGGTACCAGGTCAGATACCTTCTGGCACTCCTGTTACTGTAATTCAACAAACTGTCCCACAGAGTCATATCTTTGGCAGAGTACAGACCATGCCAGCATGTACTTCTACAGTTTCACAGGGTCAACAGTTGATCACCACATCACCCCAACCTGTGCAAACTTCATCTCAACAGACATCAGCTGGTAGCCAGCCACAAGACACTGTTATCATAGCACCCCCACAGTATGTAACAACTTCTGCATCTAATATTGTCTCAGCAACTTCAGTACAGAATTTTCAGGTAGCTACAGGACAAATGGTTACTATTGCTGGTGTCCCAAGTCCACAACCCTCAAGGGTAGGGTTTCAGAATATTGCACCAAAACCTCTCCCTTCTCAGCAAGTTTCATCAACGGTGGTACAACAGCCTATTCAACAACCACAGCAGCCAACCCAACAAAGTGTAGTGATTGTAAGCCAGCCAGCTCAACAAGGTCAGACTTATGCACCAGCCATTCACCAAATTGTTCTTGCTAATCCAGCAGCTCTTCCAGCTGGTCAGACAGTTCAGCTAACTGGACAACCAAACATAACTCCATCTTCCTCACCATCACCTGTCCCAGCTTCTAATAACCAAGTCCCTACTGTCATGTCATCTTCTTCCACCCCTCAATCACAGGGACCACCTCCTACTGTCAGTCAAATGCTATCTGTGAAAAGACAGCAGCAGCAGCATTCACCAGCACCTCCACCTCAGCAGGTACAAGTACAAGTTCAGCAGCCACAAGTACAGATGCAAGTTCAACCACAGCAAACAAATGCAGTTGGTCAGCCTGCTTCTGGTGAGTCAAGCCTAATAAAACAGTTGCTGCTTCCAAAACGTGGTCCTTCAACTCCAGGTGGTAAGCTTATTCTCCCAGCTCCACAGGTTCCTCCCCCTAATAATGCAAGAGCGCCTAGCCCTCAGGTGGTATACCAGGTGGCCAATAACCAAGCAGCAGGTTTTGGAATGCAGGGGCAAACTCCAGCACAGCAGCTGTTAGTTGGGCAGCAAAATGTTCAGTTGGTCCAAGGTGCAATGCCATCCACAGGGGGAGTGCAAACCGTGCCCATCTCGAACTTACAAATATTGCCAGGTCCACTGATCTCAAATAGCCCAGCAACCATTTTCCAAGGGACTTCAGGCAACCAGGTAACCATAACAGTTGTGCCAAATACAAGTTTTGCAACTGCAACTGTGAGTCAGGGAAATGGAACTCAGCTAATTGCTCCAGCAGGAATTACCATGAGCGGGACCCAGGCAGGAGTTGGACTTCAGGTGCAAACACTTCCAGCCAGTCAAGCATCTCCAGCTGGACAATCATCTTGTACTACTGCTACTCCCCCATTCAAAGGTGATAAAATAATTTGCCAAAAGGAGGAGGAAGCAAAAGAAGCAACAGGTTTACATGTTCATGAACGTAAAATTGAAGTCATGGAGAACCCGTCCTGCAGACGAGGAACCATGAACACCAGCAATGGGGATACAAAAGAAAATGAAATGCAGGTGGGAAGTCTTTTAAATGGGAGAAAGTACAGTGACTCAAGTCTACCTCCTTCAAACTCAGGGAAAATTCAAAGTGAGGCTAATCAGTGCTCACTAATTAGTAATGGGCCATCATTAGAATTAGGTGAAAATGGAGCATCTGGAAAACAGAACTCAGAACAAGTGGACATGCAGGATATCAAAAGTGATTTGAGAAAACCTTTAGTTAATGGAATCTGTGATTTTGATAAAGGAGATGGTTCTCATTTAAGCAAAAACATTCCAAATCACAAAACTTCCAATCATGTAGGAAATGGTGAGATATCTCCAATGGAACCACAAGGGACACTAGATGCCACTCAGCAAGATACTGCCAAAGGTGATCAACTAGAAAGAATTTCTAATGGACCTGTATTAACTTTGGGTGGTTCACCATCTGTGAGCAGTATACAGGAGACTTCAAATGTGGCAACACAGCAATTTAGTGGTACTGATTTGCCTAATGGACCTCTAACTTCAAGTTTGAATTCAGATGTGCCTCAGCAACGCCCAAGTGTGGTTGTCTCACCACATTCTACAACCTCTGTCATACAGGGGCATCAAATTATAGTTCCCCACTCAGGATCAAGAGTGTCCCATTCTCCTGCCCTACCATCTGATGTTCGGTCTACAAATGGCACAGCAGAATGCAAAACTGTAAAGAGGCCAGCAGAGGATAATGATAGGGAAACAGTCACAGGAATTCCAAATAAAGTAGGTGTTAGAATTGTTACAATCAGTGACCCCAACAATGCTGGCTGCAGTGCAACAATGGTTGCTGTGCCAGCAGGAGCAGATCCAAGCACTGTAGCTAAAGTAGCAATAGAAAGTGCTGTTCAGCAAAAGCAGCAGCAGCCATCATCATACATACAGAATGTGGTCCCACAGGTAAGTCATTCTACTATTACATTGCTTTTAAAAATTCTGATCTGGAAATATTATTTTAGGGGAAAATGTACTATTTTTCTGTCTCACCTTGAAGTGTTAACTGTCAGGTTATCAATGTACTCAAGCTGTTGTTTTTCTCTGTTTTTTTGTAATGCTGAACAGTTTTCAGTTGTTAAACCTGTGTGCCACAAGAAGGGACACTAGTGTGCCCCAATAATTTTTAAAACTTGTAATACCTAACTGTTTAGTCAGGAGGACCAACCCTTTTCCCCTTAGATTATCAAATAAATAAATGACAACGGCCGACACAATAGCCGTCTGGTGTGAATGAATCAAATTTATAACTATTCTTCTGTCAAATGGGCTGCAGAATTTTAGGAATTAGTATATGTGTGCCATGAGATGAAAGAGTTTGAAAATCGCTGACTTAGCATATAGTTTAAGGACTCTATTTTGTTATAAATCCAAATTAGTAATTCTGTAGACCCAAGGTGGAGAAGCACTTGTAATCTAATCTTTTGGAGAATTTTTGAAATGTAATTGTCTCTTGGAGTTTGGGGTGGCGTAGTGTTGCTGCTAAGAGTATTCCAAAAGGGAATTCTGTATTTGATTTTGACATGTGTGGGCTTTTTTAAAGCTCTTTTCATAGTACTTCTGTAAAAAGGATGAATGCCATAAGAATTATCAAGTGTGTTCTTGTTATATTTATGTATTGAATCAGTAGCCTTTGTTTTTTTTAAAATATTATTTACTAGTATAATTTCAATTTGTTTCAACTATTTGATAATTTTAATTTTGTGTTTATTATTCCTTTGCTCTACTGTTATGTTTCTGCTCTTCCTTTTTAATATCTTCTATCTGCATGCCTTTGTAAAGAAATGTGTTTTCTAGGTCAGTGCTACTATATTGAGGGTTCAATTAGCCTATAAAGACTTTAAGGACAATACTATAAGCTACTTCTACTGAAACTAGGGATTCACTTAACAGTTGTGTCTCACCTATTTCCTGGATCACTTCTCCTTCACTCTTTCTTTCTTAATTATTACTGCATAGCCAGAACCTTCTGTGACTTGCCAACTCAACTAGCACTCTCCTGGCTTGGGTTTCTTCTCTGTGCTTATGGTGATGATAGCAGATCAATGGTCGTTATTATCATTAGTACTAAACCTAGGTGTGGGGAAAGGAGAGGAAGCAAACAAAAGATGAAAGAACAGCCGAGCCAGTGATGGTGAACCTATGACACGCGTGTCAGAGGTGACACGCGAACTCATTTTTTTGGTTGATTTTTCTTTTTTAAATGGCATTTAAATATATAAAATAAATATCAAAAATATAAATCTTTGTTTTACTATGGTTGCAAATATCAAAATATTTCTATATGTGACACGGCACCAGAGTTAGGGTTTTCAAAATGCTGACACGCCGAGCTCAAAAGGTTCGCCATCACTGGCCTAGCTAGTTTGGCTCAGTGGATAGAGCGTCAACTTGCGGACTGAAGAGTCCCAGGTTTGATTCTAGTCAAGGGCATATGCCCAGGTTTTGGGCTCGATCCCCAGTAGGGGCGTGCAGGAGGCAGCCAATCAATGATTCTCTCACATCATTGATGTCTCTATATATCTCCCCCTCTCCCTTCCTCTCTCTGCAATCAATAAAAATATATATTTTTTAAAAAGATGAAAGAACAGAGGATCCCTTGCTTCAGAATAGTTCATCCATAATATATATTTTTGTTCATGTGAATGGATAAAGCTGGACAATGCTGCTCTGGGGGCATAATGTAATCCATATGTTAGTATTGCTTAGATGTATTTCAGGGTACCTAAATACGTTAAGTATTCTTTAGTGGATGTTGTGAACATGGCAATAATTAATATTGAGTTTGGATGGAAAATACTAAATCATCTTTACTCAAACTTCTACAAATTGAGTTTTTTATGAAACACTAAAAAAATGTTAGTGCAATGTCTAGCATGTAATAAACATTCAATTAGTCGGGTTTTTATAATTTTCTTATATTTAATAATCTCCCAGTTCATCTTGATTATGTGCCTGCTGTTTATTCCCGGTATATTCCTTTATAATCCTAAATAGTTACTATAAAGAAAGCCAAATTAGAGAAAAACTGCATTACTGTGGAATTGTTTCAACCCTTATTTTTTGTATCTTTAAACTTTCAATGTGGTTATATTCCATAATGATATCTAAGTAACAAAAACAATAATACTAGCTAATACAACAACCTGTGCTAGGAACTTTGTATTAAAGCATTTTCTCATTTAATTTTCACAACTCTATTAGGTAAAAATTTTAATTATATTTTAGAGATGAGGTCCCAGGACGTAAATAAGTCACCCAGGGTCACCGACATGTTGACTTCATATTGATCACCACAAATATGAAGTGGTACAAGGACTGAAACCTGGGTGTGTATCTGAAACCAAAACTTATTTCTCCATTATTCTAAAAGGTTCCTTTTTAAATTCTAGAAAGCCCTTTTATATCTAACATACTCATTAATTGAACTATTATGATATAGGATGTGAGTACCATTAAATGATAATTTTAGAACATTAATGCTAAAACTCTTAATACATTGGACTTATATGCATCTAATTTGAGCCATAAAAGTCATCCATTTATTCCTAATCTGGGTATTAAAATTGTAGCGTATTTCTAAAATTGGCATTTGGTTGGCATGTAGAAATTTAAATATTTGCTAGGAAAAAGAGATGTATACATGGTGTCTATGAGAATGAAAGTAAAAAACCAGCATTCTTATGTATAGTACTTAGCACAGTGCCTGCTACATAGTTATGGTGCAGGTAATATTTTGTCTTCCTGTATAGGATACTGTTAAAGATGACATCATAGGTTTCCTTTGAACGGTAGACTGTTGGGCCTTCTTAAGAGCCTGCTAATAGCTTTGGCTGGCTAGCTCAGTTGGCTAGAGCATCATCCTGATAACACCAAGGTTGTGGGTTCGATCCTCAGTCAGGGCACATATGGGAAGCAACCAATAAATGGAATAGCAAATTGATGTTTCCCTCTCTCTCCCTCTCCCTTTCTTCTCTGTATCTTTAAAATCAATCAATAAAATTTTTTAAAAAGAGTCTGCTAAGAGAAAACCATTTTCATTGTTGCCCAGATTCTTTAAATTACTTTATATACTCTTAAAGTTGCATTTTAGACCACGGTTTAACACCATTTTACATTTGAATTTGGTCCTTAAAAGAGTAGATGAAATAGAGGATTTTAAATGTGATTTTTTTTTTTTTTTTTTTTTTTAGCCAAACATTATTTTCACAAGTTTAAGGGATCTGGAGATGTTAAGGAGGCATCTGGACCCCAAGAAGGGATTTCCAGACTTGCAGAATGCTCGGGTATAGAAAGTCTACAGGAAATGTCCCTGCTGAGAATGGCCACAGCTAATCCTTTCTAATATCATAGTTATTTCATTTTTTTGAGTTTATTCCTTCTCCTGTTAATCAGCTGCATTAATTTAATTTCAGGAAAAATTTAGCAATAGAGAACAATATATGAAAGTAAATTGTATGATCATAGATTTTGTATTTCAGTAGTATTTTAAATGAGTAGTTTATATAAATACAAAATAAATTATATTTACTTCAAGGCAAGTTTTTTTATTCGTAGTTACTTAATTTCATTCTGTTATATTTGCTAGTTAAAGTGCAAGATACAGCATACTGTTTCTCAAAATCCTACCCTCTTTCGCTCTTTAGGAATTGGTATCTTCTGAAGTTATAAAGAAAAAGGAAAAATGAATTGAAAAACTAAACATTTTAGTTTACAAATACTTACCTAAAGACTTGTCTTTCTCAGGAGCATGTAAAACACATGTTGAACATGCCTGTATCTATTAATTTCATGGTCTGATGGTATGCCAAATTCTTGTATGTAAAAACAGTTTACTTAAGAATGTGCCTATTTAAAGTATTTTTTATATGTTGCTCCCAGTTCCCTGTCCTTCACACATGAATCTTTCCTAAAATGGTACTGTGTAAACTGTGAATATTGGTATCTTCCTGGTTCCTTTCTTTGTGTATTAAACTTCTATGTATTCTCATCAAGAATGTAATTTATTGAAAATAGCACCATTCTTCATTTCTAAAATTGGTATTTAGTTGGCATATAGAAATTTGAGCTTAAAAAGTTACTCAACCCATCAGCAAGCAGATCTGTAGCCTTAAAGGGGCAGCATAGATCACTTTAGCAAGAATTGGGAGAATAAGATTTGGGGTTTTTTTTAGAGTACTAGTGTTCAAATTTGTAGACCAGAAGTACATAACTAAGGAAGACATTACCACTAAACAGTTTTTTTGTTTACAGCTCAGTGTGTTCTTACAAGAGAGGCTTGGAATGTATTAACTTGGTTTATATTTAACAAGAGAAAAAAACTTCATAGTTTAAGAAAATGAGGGAATGTTAAAGCAGGAAGAGCCTGAGGTGTTATCTTGTACAAAATCCTCATTTTTAAGTGTTGAAGTAAATTTCCCACCTACACAAAGAACATTTGGTTTCCCATGATTTCTATTGTTGTCTGAATTCTGTCTGAAGATCCGTACATTTAGACAAAGTTAGAGTAAATCTATTTCTTCTTCTCTACAAGTGTTTAGAACTATCTCTTCTTACTTCGTCATTAAAATGCACTTTCCCAGTTCCTTCGGTTAGATCTTAGATATCCTGGTGTCTGGTTTATTCATCATCTTATTTACCTCAACCAGTTTCATTTTATAAATGATTTCAAAATGTGTGCTTAGAATTGAACAAAGAAAAATTTATTATTTATAAAAATGATTTTGAGAAAAATAGATATGGCTATAGTTTTTCTAACAGATTAAAATGTTTAAGTTTTAGAATAATCTAAATTTATTTTAAGGTCTTTAAAGTTTAATATTAATTAATAAGAAAATAAGGATTTAAGAGCCTGAGATTCCAAGTTTTATATCAGGAAATAGTGTAAACGAGAATTTTCAGCCATAATTTACTCTTGAAAAGGTGATAAAGGAAAGCAAGATTATAATTTCTCATTTTAACAAAGAGCAATATGTTTGCCAAAAACAACAACACACCTGCTACATTAACATTTTATGTTAATTTTACATACACGAAAATCACAGAATTGTTACAAATCTGTTGTGTAATTTTACTTTTCTGGTCACTCACTGTGGGAGGTGTGCCTTTTCTGTCTTGATTAAAAGAAGAAACTAATAGTAAAAATTAGCTCTTTCTCAGTAGAGCAGAGAATTGATATAGAATATTCTTCGAGAGTAACCATTCCAAAAAACATCTCTTGGAAATCTACTTTACGTTTACATTTCAGTTAGGGATACAGTTAATGATTTGGCAAATCACTGCAAACAAGAATGTAAAGAAAAAGTAAACTTTTATATCCAGAAAGAAATATATTTTGCATTCTTATGTAAACGACCTACTTCTTAACCTTTTGTGGTCCAATGTTATTTTTGGAATTCAAACAGTCTGGTCCAAATTAAATGACGGGATTGAATGTTGAACTTTTTAATGTTATTATTGCTCGACGTTGGACCTGCTCCTAGCGCCTGGTCTGTCGAGCCAGCCTCGAGGTTGGACCGAAAAGGGTTAAAACAGAATTTAAATTGTACTTTGAAAAATATGCAGTACAATACATTGTCAGATACATGTTTCCAGCATTAATTTGTGTTGATAGACATTTGTAGTTGGTGATCTGTCACTGTCCCCAAAGCAAAATCAATCATCTTTCCTCCAAAATTTTGTTTCCCTTCTGGACTTTTCTATTAGAATACCAGTAATAGTAACACTTGCCATTTATTGAGAATCTAGAGCTAGGCTCTTCATGTATAATTTCTCCAGTCTTCCCATCATCTCATAAGGCAGATTTTATTGCTTACACTTTATAGATGAGGGAACCGAGGATCAGAGAGAATAAGCAGGTTGCCCAAGGTCACAAAGCTAGTTAAAAGGCATATTGATGAACAACATAAACTGATGAACAAAAACAGATCCAGGGGCAGAGAAACATCGATCAGATGCTCAAACCTCAGAGGGAAGGTAGGGGAGGGAGGGAATAAGGGGAGAGATCAACCAGAGGACTTGTATGCATGCATATAAGTATAACCAATGAACACAGACACCAGGGGGGTGAGGGCATGAATGGGAGTGGGATGGGGAGGCAATGGGGGGATAAAGACACATATGTAATACCTTAATCAATAAAGAAAAAAAAAGGCATATTGAAATTTGAGTCTTGGCCTGTCAAGCTGGAAAGTTCACATCTTGTCCATGACACACCTGCATTGCCCTAACATGCATGTTTTTCATGCATTCTTAAGGGTGGGATCCTATTATAGAAACAATTTCATCATATCCCAAAAGTGGATTGTTTCTCCTTAGACCTTGGAACTCACGGTATTGTATGAATTTACACTTCTGAGAACTTTTTCAGCATTTTATTTTATTCCTAACTTTTATGCTATGTAGCCTTATATGTTTGTGTTTTGTCTATTTTTTTAAAAAATTATGACTTTTTAATCTGAGACTTTCAGAAATTTTAAACTAAACTTTACCCAACCATTTTCAATATTTTCTTATAAATGAACAAGTATATTTTCTCAAAGTTTAAATTTATTGTCTTTAAAGAATGCTTTGAAAATGTGCCACCATTTCTAGGAGAAATTCGGTATTTTTCCCTTTGTCATTTTATAAATGAAATCTAAGTTAAGGATTCAGAGAAAATGTATTGCCTCAAATTGTTTTAAGCTACATTATAATTATGTATTTTTCAGAGAGAGAGGGATATAGAAGGGAGGGGGGGGGGGACACCTTATATTTAAAAGGCTAATACTTACTATTAGAATCCTTTCAATTGTATTATTCATCAAAATTTATAACTGGGCAACTTTAAAAACTAAAGTTCTTAGTTAAAACATCTTACTGCAAAATAAGATTGACAACATTTTACTTAAATGGTTACATTATTTTTTTTACTCTGAAATTTTCTTTGCTTTCTACTGTGCACTGCTCTATGTCACATTTATTACAAAATCTAAAAGGAAATATGCAAAGAAATAATAATTTGTAGTTGATTTGTTCTTGTGAAGAATATGCGTAAGTAAATCAAATGGGTGCATTTATAGTCATTTTAATCTATAATTGTGTGTTGCTACCTAATTTATTAATATAAAAAATCTTAATTCTAAATATCATATATTCTGTAACAATAACAACAATGTGATCTTGCCTCTGTGGTCAAATGAAATAAAGGAATCTGACTTCCTAAATATTTCTGTAAAAATAGCTATCTTAAATAATTTTTTAAATTTAAAAAAATATTTTTAAAAGATAGTCATTAAAACTACAAATGTAAATTTCATGTTAGAAGTGCACAACTGTCAACATAATCAAACTTAGAAGCTTATACTATAAAATATGAATGTTTTCTAATGTCATCTCACAAATCATGCGGTTGTGCTTTTCCACAGAACACTCCTATGACGCCTTCACCAGCTGTACAAGTGCAGAGCCAGCCTAACAGTTCTCAGCCTTCTCCATTCAGTGCATCTAGTCAACATGGGGATTCAGTGAGAAAACCTGGACACAACTTCATGTGTCTGTGGCAGTCTTGTAAAAAGTAAATGGCAATTTTATTTAATATACATAAATGTTCTTTGTTTTAGAATGCTTTTACATTCCAATTTCTGTCCTCTATAGTTTATGAAAATTTTCAGCAAAAATATTTTATGTTAATTTAAGAGTGATGCTTACGTAGATCCAGTGGCACCTAAGCTAAGAAATTTATATAAATGTCAGAAAGAGATTCAATGGTAGGCTGTTAGGGAATGTGTTTCGATATTAGCTCTTTTTGTTTGTTTTGCTTTTTTTGTCCTAGCATCTGACATATGTTAATACCAGATGTGAGTCATGTTATTTCCAAGGTTCTAACAAAGTAATTTGCAGAAAGTCATTAGTATGTTTGTTTGCTTTTGTTAATTCATTTCATTTCATTATATTTTTATTTTTAAATTATAGTTGATGTACAATATTATATTAGTACTTTATATCCCTGTGACTATTCTATACCAGTTTGTACTTCTAAATCCTTTTACCTTTTTCACCCATCCCCTAAGCTCCCTCCCCTTTGACAACCCACAAAATGTCCTCTATATCTATGAGTCTGTTTCAGTTCTGCTTGTTTATTTTGTTTTTTAGATTCCACATGTAAGTGAAATCATTTGGCATTTGTCTTTCTTTGTCTGACTTATTTCACTCAGCACAGTACCCTCTTGTTGTGGATCCATGTTGTGTGGATGGCAAGATTTCATTCTTTTTTTATGGCTGAATCATATTCCATTATGTAGGGTGGGGCAAAAGTAGGTTTACAGTTGTGAGTGTGCAAAACAATTTATTCTTATATTTTTATTTATTAATTATTTTCCATATGAACAACCATAAAGCTACTTTTGCCCCATTGTATATATGCACCACTTCATTATCTGTTTGTGTATTGATGGACGCTTAAGTTGCTTCCATATTTTGGCTATTGTAAAAAATGTTACAATAAACATATAAATATATGTCTTTTTGATTTAGTATTTTGTGTTTCTTTGAATAAATACCCAGAAGTGGAATTGCTGAACCTTTTTTTTCTCTTTTATAGTCTTTGCTTAAAGTCTATTTTGTCTGGTGTAAGTTTTGCTACCCCAGCTGGTTTTTTATTGTTCGTTTCCATTTTCATGAAATAACTTTTTCCATCCCTTTGCTTTCAGTCTTTGTCTTTCCATCTGAAGTGAGTCTCTTGTAGACAGCATATGTAAAGGTTACATTTTCTTTTCCATTCAGTCACCCTGTGTCTTTAGAGCATTTAATCCATTTGATTTGCATTTAAAGTAATTGTTGTCCTGGCTGGGTAGCTCAGTTGGTTAGAGTGTTCTCCTGATACGCCAAGGTTGCAGGTTCAGTCTTTGGTCAGGGTACATACAAGAAGCAGCCAGTGAGTGAGTGAGTAAGTAGAAAACCAAATTGGTGTTTTTCTCCCTGTGTGTCTCTCTCTTTCCATTCCTCTCTCTCTCTAAAATCAGTAAAAAAAGTTATTGTTGATAGATATGCATTTATTGCCATTTTATTCATATTTTTAATCATTTTCTTAATGAGACCCTTTAATATGTCTTACACGAGTTTGGTGGTGATGGATCCTATTAACTTTAGATTCATATCTAGGAAGCACTTTATGTGTACTTTGATCCTAAATGATAGTTTTGCTGGGTAATTTTGGTTGCTTTTCATTACTTTGAATATTTCTTGCCAATTACTTCTGCCCTGCAAAGTTTCTATTGATAAATTAGCTGACAGTCTTATGGGAGCTCCCTTGTAGGTAACTAACTGCTATTCCTTGCTGCTTTTAAGATTCTCTTTTGTCTTTTTAACCTTTGCCTTTTAATTATGATGTGTCTTGGTGTGGATCTTTTTGGGTTCATCTTATTTTGGACCCTGTGCTTATTGGACTTGTATCTCTATTCTATTCACCAGGTTAGGGAAGTTTTCTTGTAATTTTTAAAAATAGTTTTTAGTTTCTTGCTCCTCTCTCTTCTCCTTCTGCCATCCCATGATGTGAATGTTGATACACTTGAAGTTGTCCCAGAAGCTCCTTATATTATCCTCATTTTTTGGGAATCTTTTTTCTTTTTGCTATTCTGATTCAGTGTTTTTTGTTTCCTCATATTCCAAATCATTTATTTGATTCTCTGATTCATCTACTCTGCTATTGATTCTCTGTAATTTCATTTCAGCTATTGTGTTCTTTGCTTCTGAAGGGTGCTTTTTTTTAATGTTTTCTATCTCCATTTTTATTTCCTATCTCTTTGTTGAAGTTCTCACTAAGTTCATCTACTCTTCCCCTACTTTCATTGAGCATCCTTATAACCAATGTTTTGAACTCTTGACTCTGCATCTGATAGATTCCTTGTTTCCATCTTGTTTAGTTCTTTTTCTGGAGATTTGTTCTTTCCTTTCACTTGAGACATATTTCTTTGTCTCCTCATTTTGGTTACCTGCCTGTGTTTGTGTCTATGTGTAGGTAGAGCTGCTATGGCTCCTAGTCTTGGTATAGCGACCTTATGTAGTAGGTGTCCAGTAGGTTCCTGTGGCCCAGCCTCCCCAGTCTCCTGAACTGGGTGCTCCAAGTGTGCTCTCCATGTCATGTGAGCTGTGTGCACCCTCCTAGTGTAGTTGTGCCTTGATTATTGTTAGTACATTAATGGGAGTGATTTACCCCCAGGCTGACCCCACAGAGCAGAACTCACTTTAGCAGGTCTCAGATACCCAATGAGTCTACTGAGTTTGTTGATCATGGAGGTAAGTGGGTGGTGTTTCACCATGGTCTGAAGCTGTCTATTGGTTACATTGGATCAGTGCCTCCTGGGAGGTAGAGGCCAGTGTCAGCCATTGCTTGTGCCCTGCCCAGGGCCACTGGGCATGAGCTTCAAAATGATCTGCATTTGGCTACTACTTGTGCTGGGCTTGGAGATGTCCAGAGACGCCAAGCTGTGAACCAAGGGTGCTAGTGCCAGGCCTGGGGTTACTTAGCAAAAGGTACAGTTATGCAGAGGGCAGATGCTGCTTGTTTGAGAGATTTTAGGAAAGTCTTTTAGGAAAATTGGCAGCACGAGCCAAGACAGGCCTTTTGTATGGAAAAGTCTGAAGGGCTTGGGTGGGCCCGAAAATTGGGTTGGGTGGGGTCTCAGGCAATCATCAGGGTGGGGCTAACTATTAAATTAATCAGGTTGATGGAGAATCAGATATAGCGCCTGCCTTCGGGTTCTTTGGGGGAAGGGCTCAGAAAAGGAACAATGGCCTCTGCCAGCACCACTGTCTGGGAGAAAGCTGCCCCTCCAGCTCTTGACCTGATGCCAGACAGTTCATTTCCTCCCCATATGTCCCCAGTGGCAGTTGAGCTGCTTTTCTAACGTTGGAGCTCAGATGCAGCCCAAGTACATCTGACTGCACCCTTTAAAAAGAATGCCTTATGTCCAGCTGGGGTGGCTCGATGGTTGAATGGCGACCTATGCACCAGGAGGTCAAGGTTTGATTCCCAGTCAGGGCATATACCTGGGTTGCAGCCTCGATCTCCAGTGCAGGATGTTTAAGAGGCAGTCTTTCAGTGTCTCTCCCATCATTGGTGTTTCTATCTCTCCCTCTCCCTTCCTCTCTGACATCAATAAGAACATTTAAAAAAGAAAAAAATGCCTAGGATTCCAGCAGCACTTTGTCTCAGCCACAATCTCTGCTGGTTTTCACAGCCAGAAGTTACGGGGACTTCTCTTCCCAGCACTGGAACCCTGGGCTTGGCAGGGCCAGGTGTGGGTCTGGGACCCCTGTCTCCCCAGGAAGGATCTCTGCTGCTGAGATATCCCTCCAACTTTTTAACCACAGGTGGGTTGGGGACCAGCCCATTCTGCATATCTTTCCCTCCTACCAGTCTCAATGTGGCTATTCTCTATATTTTTAAATGAGTATTTCTGTTCAGGTAGATTTCAGGTGGTTTTGAAATGGTTGTTCTGTAGTGTAGTTGTAATTTTGATGTGGTTGTGGGAGGTTACGAGCACTGCACTTACCTACATCACCATTTTGACTAGAAGCCAGGTATTACATTTCAACGAGAGAATCTGATTTTTTTGTTTGGCTATGAAAAGAGAGAGTTTTTTTAAAAGTGACTATAAGTTAGTGGACACTGAAGAATTTCTATATATTGAAACTTAAAGTTAATAATCTGTTAGGAAAAATGACTTGTCTTAAATTTGAATTTGGGATGGACAACCCATGAAACTTCTTTTTAAAGCCATAGATCTCACAGTTTAATAACTAAGATGAATAATGAGTAGAACTGAACTTCTTAAACAAGGCTTTCTTCGACTTGAAGGAAAACTTGATAATAATACTGTTTAAAACAGAATCTTAGTTCCTTTAACATACTCAGCCAAGAACCTTTGCCATGTCACACTTTAGAGTTCTAAGACTAATGTACTTATCTTAATGAAATAATATTCTCATCTTTTAGATATCAAAGATGCTCTTTCACTTTTTCTAACTGATAGCAGAAATCAGATCCTTTTAAAAATTATATTTGCTCTTCATAATATTTATCTTTAGACTTTGTATTTCACTGTGAACTTCATATATTGTTGTATGATTGCGGCTATCAATATAGCCCAGGGATTGTTAACAGTATGAAAAATTTCTTTGGACAGTGTTTCTCATTTTAAAATCTCAACCCAGTAGTGGGGTCATGAAATCATTTGTTCAGTCTCTACCAGTGAGTTTTTGCCTCTTTCCTTTGCAATTAAAAATGAATAAAATATATCAGAGTCTATTCATGTTAGTAAGGGTAAGTATTGTTTCCAGTTATATATGTATATTACATATATATGTGTGTGTGCTAGATCATAGTGTATAATATGTTTGTCAAAAAGGTCCTTTAGTCCTAGCTGGTGTGGTTCAGTTGGTTGGAGCATTGTCCCATGCACCGAAAGGTTTTGGGTTTGATTCCCAGTCAGGGCACATACCTAGGTTGCAGGTTTGATCCCTAGTCAGGATGTGTAGGAAAGGCAATTGATTGATGTTTCTTTCTCTCTCTCT